TCCTCGTACCTAAAGTATCCATCAAAAGTTTATATTTTATAAGCAGTGTATAACAGGCAGTGTTGGGAATAGATAATGCAAAATTTATCTAGATAAAGATGAAAGATAATATGTTCAAATTCATCTAAATAAAGATAATAGATAAAAAAATTAAAATATCTAGTTAAAGATAAAAGATAATTTAATTTATATCTAAATAAAAAAAAAGATATTTTCAAAAAATGTTATTTTTTTGTTAATATTTCATATTCTAACAATATCTATGAAGACTCAATTATAATCATTATTATCAATAGGTACCTAGGTGTTTAATGTTTATTGTAGTAATGTAGTACACCATTAAGCAGTATTTATATATAATGTATAATATTTAATGATAGTTAATCACGAAAATTGTACATAAAAAAAAAAAAAAATGAAAATTCCTCTGTACGTATCAGGATGAATACAGAATATATAAAAAATTATTTTACGTTAACAATATTATTTTCCATATAATATTAATATGATGATTTTCATTATTCTATAAGTAATTACGACTTTACGGGTTCCAAGAGTGAAGTAATGACTATTCAGCGTATGAGTTACATGTGTATACTAAAATCAAATACCTACTATATTTGGAACTTCCATGGAAAAATAAGAAATTAAGTTTAAAAATACCAAAAATATTTTCCTGGCATGAAAATACAAACAAAATGTCATACCAATAAATAATAACTACTTATTAATAATACAATAATTATGATTATGAATACAAAATCTGTATGTATAAAAGAAAGTTAGGTTATTTATAGAATTTATAATTCAAGAACGGCTGGACCGATTTTGAAGATCTCTGATTTGTTGGATTCGTCTCCGTACAAGAATAAAAATAACTCTTATCTTGGCAAGAATACAGACAATTATTTAGATAAGTAAAAATGTTATCTTAGGTAAATAATTAGATAACTTAGCGTTATTTATCTATATAAGATAAAAGATGGCAAAAAATCTATCTAGATAAGTCCCAACACTGATAACAGGTACGATAACAGATAACATAATTTTTACAAATCGATAATGTTGTGCAGTTAGTGTATATAAATTCTGTTTATCATTATCTTTATCATTGACGTGATTCAAGGTATAGCTCTCTGAAATGGTTTTTTAATGACGGAATTACTCTATTCCGAAATAACACGTTATTTTACATAAACTCAAGCGAAAAAAGGGATGCTTCGCAAGCAAAGAACATCAGTTGATGCATTCCCAGGTTTATTCAAATCAAACAATCTGGGCCGAGTATGTACAATCAATCCAAGGCAAACTATTAATCCAGGCGGAACTGACAAAACAGATCTCATTTCGCTAATTCTCGTCAAAATACGTTTAAATAATGGCATCACATTAGTCGTAGCATCACTGAGCGACAAAAAATGTTTTTCTCAAAATAGTCAATGTATAATACCATAATACAATTATAGTATTACATGTTTGTTTCGCATTATTTCGCCGAATCTTTCAAAAACTATCGACAGAGTATAATCACTGGGCAACATTTGTGTCGCATAGTTAACTAGTTAAAAAATGCACTGTTCTACAACAATTTATTAATATTAATATTTAATAAAAGCAAACTATTATAATAATTACGTTTCCGTGTAATAACATTATTAAGAAGTTACTACAAACACCATTTTCCCGCAGTAGTCAAAATAATAAACGTGAGATATTGAACGACGGTCGACCTGTAATTGTATTAAATATTCAAATGCAAATGTATGTTCTCGTTCTTTTAAGGAATCTTGGCATTATTCTCACAAGTGAGATTTTATATACATTTTGAAAATATTTGCCTCGCCCCTCATTCAGTCCACGGACCGCCACTGATTATATCTCCCTGACACTCCCCCTGCATACGCTACTGAGTGATACAAAATAATATTTGAAACAATTTGCATCATTAAAAGTATGAACAGGACACAGAACAAGGGTGAATCCAGCATCTGTTCATGGTCGGCGTACTTTATAGAAGCAATTCTATTTTATAGACGTACTTAAGGATGTCTTTGAGAAAGGGCTTAGAACCCCCCTACAAGAAAAAAAATAATGTGACAATATTGTATTAAAACTGTTAACGTGTAATTTTCTCATCAATTATTTAGTTTTTCTAAATATATTTTATTTTTACCCGACTACAGAAAAAGGATTTTAATATGTTTAGGTGTAACTTATTTATATTCACACTAGAGTTGCCATCTGTCCCGACATCCCGAAAAAAAAGAAAAAAATCTGATTGAAACTGCATATTGCGAATTTCGCAAATTTTGTTTTATTGTATACGATTATATGATAAAAAATATGTTTTCAAACTTGTTCGACTAAGACGTATAAGAGTATTTTCATTAATGTTGGCCCAATGGACGAAATCACTAACTCCCATAGACTATGGAGTCGATTTTACAGTGTCAAGTTAATTATAACATGACTAGCATACAGTTCTACAAATATGTTTATGTTACTTCTAAGAATTTTATTATAATCTAAAAATATTTTTTTTATGTAACCTAAAAAAAATAAACAAATATTTTATTTAAAACAAAGAATTATAATTTTTATTACAAAATTGAATATTTTTATACGCTTCAACCTAAAATTATTTGAACATCCCGATGATTCCATAACCAAATATGGTAACCCCAGTTCCCATCTTCCGCTTAAACTAATGAACCGATTTTGATGAAACAAAAATTAAAATAATCCATGAGCTTCCGGGATTGTTCCCATTTTTCAACTGTCATAACTCTCAAAATATAAAATGTCTGGTAATAACATATTATATATTTTAAATAAAATAATAATATAACTTAACAATATCAATACAGTTTTAAAAGTAACAATTTTATATTTTATTTATAATTTTTAAATTTAATTTATAATAAATTATAAATTGTCTTATTGTCTCGATTTGAATTCTCAACTAAGTCATTTAGGACCTCTCCAGGTAGTATACTTATCTGTATTAATGTTTAGTAAGGGGGGGGTTAAAAATCTAGAACTCTACCCTTGCGTACGTCACTGCGCATAATATAGGAAAGGATGGAACGAAACGTTCCATCTATTGATATTAAAAAATTAACTAAATTACTGTCACACGTGATTAAGATCTCACAAGTTTTTATCATGAGATAGATTGTGCGTAACAAAATTTGTTAATTTAAATTACCAAAGAACATCATTCACAATGGATATAGTATTTGTAGTTTAAAATGCCAAGAACTGTTCATATGAATGGAGTTAACACTTGATTTTATAAAAGATGGAGTACCCTATAAAAATTTTAAATATTAGACCATTTTCTTTTGTAAATTCAATCGAACAATTTTCTTTAATTTTATATGCGTTTTTTGTTATTTTTTACATTTTTATTTACCTTATTGAATGTACCTGTCTGATTAAGTTTAATTAAAATTTAGTTTAGTGTAATTATTTAACAAGTTGGCTGCCAAGCCGATTTTTGTCAAATTTGTCCATCCCTCCATGAGACCCATATCTGGATCTCACCTAAATACTCAAAAAATTTTTGAAATCCATTTGGGGATCTCACATATAGTTAATTTTAGTAATTGAGATCACAAATTGGGTCTCATATATCACGGTAAATTAATCATTATTATATTCTACCATATTTCTAGTTTTATTTGGTAGTTTTAGCAAGGAATTATCGTGTTTTGTTGATTTTTTTATGATTTTATTTGTTTATTCTATTAAAAGAACTTTTAATATTCTTTTAATTGACTTAATTATTACATTTAATACGTTAACAAGTTGCACAAAAGTAAATGGTAGAATGGTAAACATCGGTACAAATGTACAAGACCTCATAGTGTCATTGATAAAATTCCCTCCATTATTGTTATGATAAATATTCACATATTTATATAATGTATTGTATTATAAATATTCCAATTTGTTAAGTGTTTCAAAAATTCTATCATAGTGCTACATTATTATTAATATATAAATTTGCAATACTATTATTTTACATAAAATCTATGAACCTATATTATAAAAATACGCAAATGGTTAATTTATATCTTACACTTAATAATATAATACCTGTGGTATAATCATTTGATAAATTGAGGGGTCAATTCGGATATCACTATATGAATATAAACTAATTAAAATATTGATAGTGTCACCCACGCCATGAGATTCTATTTTGGATCTCACCCATAAATAATAAAAAAACACTTAGAAAACCTAAAAAAATTGAAAAAAATAATAATCCAAAAGACTTCATCAACTATTTGAGGATTGATGGCCCTATATTTAATCACTCATTAAATAAATATATTTATTATATATATATATACTTTTTAATTATATTTCATCGTAGAAAATTTGATAAATAAAATCCCACAGTAATGAGATAATAAAGTATCTGATTTAATGCTCACAATGGGAGCAAATGATGGTCTATCCACTCCATTTTTAAATGCCAAAAGCAAACAGTAGATTATTTAAACGCATATTCCATCACTTGCATTTATCAGTTGTTAGAAACTGTAGATCGCTTCACTAATCATTTCCATTTCACTCAATTTTTCGATTACAAAAGATGGAACGGCACATTCCAAAACTGTTAAATCGTCTTCATGTAAATAGTGCTAATATTCATCATCGATAAGGGAAAGAAACTAAATACAATTCTAAAATTAAAATAAATTGATACCAGGATACCGGGAAATTTAATTTATTAAAATATAATTATATTAATTACATAGTGTTATCGGAAACCACCGATGTAACGCCGATAAGGAAAACGAAGAAATTTGAAACTTTTACCGTCAATTTTGAACTTTGATAACGCCAGTTGATTGAAATTTTTTTATTTATTTTTTTATCGCGAATACTTCTTACTCGTGGAAAGAGGGCGCAAATGTGGACACGTCGCGCATTTGTTGTCCGAACGGAAGAATTTAAGTTGCAGTAGTTGCACACACGTGATAGATGCGCGCGCATGCTGTTATATAAGGTTATGTCTCTATTCTCAAGTACACGACGATACGCTGACTATGATAAATAACAATATAAAAAAAAAAATCTGCTTTGGTGTATTGTATGATATTCGCCGTAATGCACGTATTACGTAGAATACATTATAGCCACTATCGTATGGACAGTGTCGTAGACGTCATCTGAGTAGCCGTATCATAAACTATTATTATTATTATTATTATTATTATTATTATTTGTGTTATTTCTGTTCGATCTTCGTGCGGCGAACTAAATGCCGGGTATTACATCGCTGTTAATAAATGAAGTAATTAGTAGTTTTTTATTATTTTTCCTATATACTTATTGTACATTGTATACATTGTCTATCTTATCTGTCGCAGTTCGTCAATATCGTTTGAGTGGAATAATAAATTCCTAATCGGCTTTAATAAGGTGTAGTTATTATTGTCTATTTTTTTACTCACCGTTCACCCCACTCTGGCTGATCGTTCCGTACGATAAAATTAATACGAAAAAAAAAAAATCATAAATGTTTCTTGAGTCATTTGACGGTTTGCGATAGTCAACAGAATACGACTATCATATAATATTTGTCATACCTGTGTGATCGTGTATTATATTATTATACACACATTTTTGAATCTTAAAGATTTGCGTTCTTTTTTTTTTTAAATATCAAATGACAAAATAAACATTATGGCCGATTACTCGCTAGTGGTGAGAAATACGCCCTAATAAGCGATTTTTTTGAGATTTGTTTGTGTTTATACAACACTATTAAAGGGTATATATTGTTACAGCCTACTATGGATGATTCACATCCCATTCCAAATGAATTAACCGGACTATCAAAGAAATCTGAGAAAGAATTAAAAGTCCAAATTCCTGAATCGAATTCGGTATGTATGCTTACATTAATGATAATCCTTTAAAAGCCTGTAGAAAATCATTAATACTCGTTGTTAATTTGTTTCATAGTCAGGATTTAGTTTTCAAAAACTATGGGCATTTACTGGACCTGGTTTTTTAATGAGTATTGCCTACCTTGATCCAGGTAATATAGAATCTGATTTACAATCTGGAACAACTGCTAGATACAAAGTATGATAATATAAACATTTTAGTATTCTGTTTTAATACTTTTTTTTTTTTTTAGTTACTATGGGTATTGATGAGTGCTACTATTCTTGGCTTGGTAATGCAAAGATTGTCTGCTCGTTTAGGTGTAGTTACTGGTTTACATTTAGCTGACATGTGTTATCGCCAGTATAGAAGAGTTCCTCGACTATTTGTTTGGCTAATGATGGAAGTTGCCATCATTGGATCTGATATGCAAGAGGTTATTGGTACTTCCATTGCAATTTATTTGCTCAGCAATAAAATGTAAGCATAATAATTGCTTAGGAAACTAATTAATAATTAGAAGAACCACTAAACTGGTCTGTCTTTAAATGACGACTAGCTTAAATTGTTATTTAAATATTGATTCAATAGGTAGAGTTAGTAATTATTTTTTTATCAGTCTAACTGGCTATCCATAATTACACAAATCTCATGTATGATATTAAAAATATTATTTATTATGCATAATATGTTTATACTATGCATTATTATTTGTGTAAAGTTGATACATTTTTAACTTATTAATTATTATGTTAAGAAACAATTTATAATATATATGTTAGGTACCTATTCAAAATGTGTGTTATAAAAGTATTAATTTGTATTTTTCTTGTTTTATGTAATATCTATATTTTTTTAATTCAACATATGAATAATTATATTCATTTAAATCTGTGAAACTTATTTTATTGATTGATAATGTACAAATTATGCTTTGTTGAATCTATAGATATATTTATTATTATTTTTTTTTTTTTTGTATTTATCAGACAATTTGTTCTGAAAACAATAATCTAACAAGAAAAACAAACTAATAATTTACTTAGGATACCACTTTGGGTAGGAGTGCTGATCACTGTCATTGATACTTTATCTTTTTTGATGCTGGACAAGTATGGACTTCGAAAATTAGAACTGGTATTTGGTTTTTTCATTGTTGTAATGTCAATATCATTTGGATATGAGGTATTTAACACCATACATGAATACAATTTTTTTAGTTTTTCAGTGTCTTACGTGTTATATCTATATGATGATTTTATTAACTAGTTTGCAGTTGTAAAACCTGAAATAAAAGAAATGTTTCAAGGTCTGGTAACTCCTTGGTGTTCAGATTGTAAACATTCTGCTCTTCTTCAGGCAATTGGTATTGTTGGAGCTATCATTATGCCACATAATTTATATCTCCATTCTGGTCTTGTTAAGGTATGTATTATATTAATTTTATGTGAAATTATTTATTAAAAATATCATAGAGTTGTTAATGTTTAAATCAAATATTGTCATGTAAATATTAAGAGTTGTTTTAATTTAAAAATATATATGAGAGGAAACACATTTTAAAAATCTTAAAAATAAAATATTTAAATTTTTATATTATTAAGTAAAACATTCAATTTAAATTCATATGACTTGCCCTAAGCATTAAAATACTTAACTGTAGAAAAATGACAAATATTTTCACAAAAGCAACATTTCAGACTACATTCTGACAAAAAAATATACCATTACCACAGAAAACAAATAAGGACTTAGAGCCAACCCCTGATGCACACAAAATCCAACATTAAAATCTTCTGTTATTGCACACAAACTCTTAACACTAGTGCTAGATCCTTCATACATATCTTGAATCAAATTTATACATATTTTTAGAATCTCTTTTCTCATTAATATCTAATTCAAAACTTTACTTGCCACTCTGTCATACACCTTTTACTTTCTTTATAAACTTTTTTTCTTTGTTTCCAATTTACAACACCAAATTTTCAATTAATTTCCTTTTTTCCTTTTTTTTACTTATTGTATTCACCTTGTTTCCACTTCACCATACTTCCATTATCATCAACCTATGTTGTGTTATTACACTCTTTCCAGGAATTAATTTACAATAATTTACTCTTTATACTGTTTTTCTTTCACATAAAATAATTAATTTGTAACCTGTTTCTTCCACTCTCATATGTTATATAATGATCTTCTCTTTTTCTAAAACATATATTGATTATTGCAAGCTCATACGATAATTTAAAATCCAAAACTTCAGCTTCATTCTTCCCGCCAAATCCATACCTCCATGCTCTCTTTCATACTCTTTTCTCTCACTACTTACATGTTTATTATATCAACATCAATGAAAGTGTCTTTATTTTCTGGTATTCCTTCCATCTCCTCATCTATCTCTCGTCAAAACTCTTCCTTTTCCCTTTCTTCACATCCTATTTGTGGTGCATACGTACTTATTACGTTTAATACTTGTTCCTCCATTACAAATTATACCATTAAAATTCTATCACTTTTTCTTCCCAGATCGACTACCTTACATTTAATCTCCTCATCCAATATTATTCCAATCCCATTCCTAGTACTAGTACTACCTGAATATATTATTTTATAGCCCTCCTATTTCTTTTGCTCTCTTTCCTTTTCACTTAGTTTCCTTAATACAACAAATATTTACTTCAATACTTCTGCCTGTTAACAATCCAACATTCCACGTGCCTATTCTCACTTTATACCTATATCTCATACCTAGTCGCAGATTTAACCTGGGGTACAATGTTTATATCCCTACACCGTTGACATTACCCGTGTTGGGTAGACCTGAACATAACTGGTGAACCAGCTACCACACTGGCTGTCCGGTTGATATCATACACTTTATCATCTAAGCCTCCTCCATCTCTAACTATGATACTTCCTCTCACTTGTCGTCCTGCGCACATCTTTACACCAGCTGTCAACCTAACACATTTAGTTGCCTCTTACGACCGGCTGAGCAACTGTCGAAGTACAGTTGAATCTGTTTAATGTGGACACTGCAAAAAGAGGACAATTAGACACTTGAATGAATGTATTTGTTTTACACATTTTATCATCGTTTATTGGGGACATAACATCGATTATAAGGGATATATAATCTATACATACCTACTTTCTTATTGAAACTGTAATTGTCTAATATCTGTCTATCAGATTTTATATAATAATCTGATGTTTAAATAATAACAATTACTTACGTATTTGACTTTTGCTAATCATTTCCTTCACAACCACATATTTTGTGAAGATAATTGAGTCAACTAGCTAGAATTGGTCAATAAGCAAAGGTTTAATAAATTAAATCCAAGAAGAATGGATGATTTTTTTTCAGCTTAACAAAGAATGAATTATGTAATGTATTTTTTTAGCAAAAATTATTAAGTTAATCAATTAATTTATAATAAATATGTATTAAAACTAATAATTTTCAAACAAAGTTTAAATTAAGTATGTATGTTTATGTTTATATATGCACTTAAATAGTTTTTTTAATTTTTATTTTTAAAAATTGATTTATTGGGACAGTCGGATATTGGGAACAGATAGATCACTGCCGTGTATGTCCCCATTAAGCGGATTCGACTGTATTCTGATCCCCTTCCACAGCAACTACTTATCAAGTTTTATAAATATAAAAATAATCATAATTTAATACTTTCCATGTTTTTGTAAAAGGTATAATCATAAAATATTTTCATTTAATTTTACATTATTCAACAACAAATTAAGTAATCATTTTCTTTTTTTGTTGTTTACTATATTGTAATTATCTGCAATAAGTCTGTCCATTTTTTTTTAAATAGAACATTATATATTGGGGTAGTATCTAAAAATGTTCAAATATTTTCTTTAAGTAGTATTGTATACTTTAACTAAACTTTAAAACATGTATGAATAGAGAATAGAACTTGCACTTTTTCCTTTAATTATTTTTTAATGTATCAAATAGTAATATGATTATTTTTAATGTATTTAGTCTAGGGAAGTTGATAGAACAAAGAAAGATAAATTACGAGAAGCCAATTTCTATTTTTTCATCGAATCCTGTGTTGCTTTATTTGTGTCATTTGTAATCAACGTCTGTGTTGTATCAGTTTTTGCTCACGGGTTATATGATAAGACAAATAAAGATGTGGTAAATTGATCATTTAACTTTTAGTTTTAATACATTTTTAATGTTTATTATTTATTGCTAATTATATATATATATATATTTTTTTTTTATTTTCTATAGTTGGAAATCTGCACTAATAGTAATAATTCATATAAAGATATTTTCACAGTGAGTTGTACTAATTACTATTATTAAAATATATATTCATAAAGTGTAATTTTTAAAGTGAACCTGGATATTCCACTAAATGTATCTTTTCAAATATTTATAATTTTTATTTATTAAAAAACTAAAAATTAAAAAATATGTTTTATAATAGTTTTTTAGTATTAAAATATTTAAATTTTTAATTTCATTATAAATGAAATATTTAAAATTTAATTTCTTCTCTTATTTATTGAAACATATACTTGAAATATAGAATATAATATCTTGAATTATATACTATAGCTTACAATTTAAATTCTTCATAAAATTAAAATTATGAAAACAATTATACATGTGTAGCAACATGTTTAAAGAGGGTTCCGGATTTATATTGGCTACTGTGATATGAGTAAAGAATAACTAAAATTGAATATTCATATATCATATGGTTCATATAAAAAATATCACTTATTGCTAATTAAATAATTATATGTTTATGCAGATGTTAATTAATTTATATAGTACTTATGCAATTTTACTAGAATAATACTGAGCTTGTAGAAGTGGATATTTTCAAAGGCGGAGTATTTCTTGGCTGTCAGTTTGGTATAGGTGCTATGTACATTTGGGCTATTGGTATTTTAGCTGCTGGCCAGAGTAGTACAATGACAGGCTGTTATGCTGGACAATTTGTAATGGAAGTAAGTAGTCACAATCAATTTTGAGATTTGATGATATTTATACTACATAAATCTTAGGGTTTTCTAAATCTTCAATGGAGCCGTTGGAAAAGAGTTGGATTCACTCGACTAGTTGCTATAGCACCTACATTTTATGTGGCATTTTTTAGTGACATAAATGAACTGAGTGGCATGAATGACCTATTAAATGCTGTAATGAGCTTACAGTTACCATTTGCCACACTTCCAGTAATTGCATTTACTAGTAATCCTCGCATTATGGGCGAATTTACCAATGGATTGTTAGTATTATGAAAATATAACTATACTTTTAAAATATAATATTTTAATTTATTAATTTCAGTGGAAATATTATAACAACAATTGTATTGTCTGTTGTAATAATAAGTATAAATGTATTTTTTGTCATTTATCAGACCATAAATAATTTAACTAGCAACTGGTACTTAATTGGAGTGATAGCATATAGTACAATTTATTTATTGATGTGTGCTTATCTTACATTACATCTTGTTATTAGTATGCTTAGTGATAGCAGTAGGTTACGTAGCAATCCAGTAAGTGTTTGATTCTCATACATTTTATATTTTATTTCATAGCCATTAATAATTTTCAGTTTGTTATTAAATTTATTGGTCCTCAAATTGGGCAAAACTTTTCTCAACACATGCAAACAAATTCTACTCTTCCAAGGTAACTACTAATTCGTTTTATTATGTATAAATATTAAGTTCAAAATTTTTTGTAAAAATTGGGGTTTCCTAAAAAAAAAGTGTTATAATTAATTAATTATTATAAACATCCTCTAACATAATTAGAACTGAGAGAAATACAAATATATAATTAGCTCAACAATATAATTTTTAGTAACTTCTTTCTCTTATTTAATTAATGTGACAGTGTTAATACTGAGTTATTATTTATATTTATAACCTATATTTTTTAAATCGCATAAATTCAATAATCATAACAATTTTAATTATTGTGCAGATGATTTATTAAATGAAGACTAATATGTATGTATGATAGTAATATCTTTCATAGTATTGCCACGCTTTATATCTCATATGAATGTGTATTAAGAATTAAAGATCATATTGTACAAAATATAAGTATAGAAATATGGGAATATAGACAAATTGTATACTTGTTATTAAATTATTGTTTGATACAATAAATTATTTATTTAAAAATGTATTATTTTATTTTCTAGATCAACCCATTCTTAAGATTAATTATTATTAACGTCTTCTATTTCTCCTTGTAACCCTGAATTTTCCAATAATTGATTTTATAATACCAACTTGTTTCCCAGTAAATAAATATTAATTATAATACTTAAAATTACTATTTTTACAGTGTGTATATAAATGCTAAATTAAATTTTAACATGATTATTGTGTGTAATTTGGTATTTTAAAATATTTTATTTTGTTACCTTAAAATGCTTTAATATTTCTTGTTTTAACACTTTTGTAATAACAAATTAATATTTAGATTATTATTTTTTCTAGATTCAAGTTACAAATTTCCATCAATAATTTCTTTAAAAAATTGTATAATTATTTTCATAAGTGTATATATATATGTATACTATTTTAAATTTTATAATTTTAACTTTTATGTTTAATTCTAAGTAAAGCATAAACTGAAAATCAGAAAATAATTAATCTTCTATTTCACCTTCATTTTTTTTCCAATCAATATTCTAAAACACATAAGTTTTATACCTTTATAATTTTCAGTCTTGTATATCACCCTTGCCTTTAAATCTGACTACTGTAGAATACCTTCTAACATTTTTCCTTACACTAATACCTTCATTTAGAAATCTGTCAATCTGATGCAAGCTTAATTGTCTTTTGTAATAGGTATCAGATATTGTAGAAGTATTCTGATACTGTCTTTCCAAGATTTTTATGACATAATTATTACTCTAGTGTTAATAATAAAAATAAAATCTTAAATTATTTTAAACATTAATGCATTAACCTGTAGTTAAGCCTATTTTTTTATTTCAGATATAAAAAAGAAAAATTTTATTTTTTTTAATCTTTTATATTCATATAAGAATTATTAAAATATTTTATTAATCATTTTTATCAATTTATTTTAATGGAAGACATTTATTTAAACAAAAAAAAAAAAAAAAAAAATATGTTTTTTATAACTTTTAATCTAATTTGAACTTTTTTTTTTTATTAACAAATACTAGCAGCCATGATGACATTCCTTCCAAATATCAAACTTTAATAATAATAGGTTGTTATTTATGTTGCAAAAGGATATAATAATTAAGAAAATAAAATTAGCAATAACTTAAACATTATATTTTTAAATTAATTGGTTTTTCAAAATAACTATAAATGAACAATATAACTGTTGCTATATGATAAAAAATTAAAAAAAAATTTAAACAATAAGGTTATATGTATCTTTATTATAGTTTTATTATATATATATATATTAAAAATAGTTATTAAACTAAAATCTTATATTGTAATAATCTTTATTTTTAATAATAAATGTTGAAAAAGTGGATAAAATACTAAATTAGACCTCTTGATTCAGCATAAGTCTGTATTTTATTAAAAATGATAAACAATTCTTATCTAGTAGTTTGATATTTTCCCATTACAATTTCCTGTAAAATGATGTTAACCTTTTTAAAGTTTAAAATTTCCATTTTTATTTAAAATTAATTGATAATCTCTACTATTAAAATATAAAAAATAAAATATAAAACATAAGTTTTCTACTGAATGGTTTTTTTTTTTTTAATTATATAAATTTAAATTTTTTATTTTTGTGGTTCATAATAAATAGTAATAATTGTGTATAGTATTAAATTATTATATTATATTATATAATATATGGCTATGTCTAATGTTGGTTTTAATAAAAAATCCTCAAATGGGATAGAACTGTTTAAACATAATTATAATTTTATATAGCTTAATTTATTTTACAAGATTCAGAGGAATTTAATTATTGTTAAGATACATATTAAATTAATTTTTTTTAAAAAACAAACTTATAAATAAATATGAATTTTTATTTTCACTAAAATTATAATCAATGACTTATAACATATGTTTTGATATTTAGAAATGCCGAGGAACTTTAATGATGGACCAAATTATATAGATAGTAGTTTTGTTTGCATTTTTTTAAGAATGTAAAATGTTCGCTCTGAATAACATTGCATGTTAAATTATTATATTATTTATTTGTTTTCAATTGAAATATTTTAGTTTATATTTAATTTATACATTTTAAGCATTAACTTTTTCCTCAATTATATTTAATAATTAAAAATATAACTGATACATTTTTGATAATTGTATACGCAAATCAAGCTTAAATAACTATGATTTATTATGGTTGATGTAAGTATACGACTGAAACTAACAGTAACGCCTTCATTGATATGAATATGTACCTACATTTTAAAATGTATACTTATATAATTTATTTTTTACTTATAAATTATTTTTTTGTATAATTTTATTAAATATAGGATTATTCAAACCTATTATATGTATAATTTGAATGATCTTATGAAAAAATAAAAATATCAACATTCTGTAAATAAATTGTTTTTTTATGCAATTAATATATGTATTTTAATTTAAACAATATGGATTATGATAATCTTAACTTAAATTATATACAAATATTTTCATTTTTTCATATGACAATAGATATAACAAAATATGATAAATGTCAACTTACAAAATAAATTCAATTTTAAAAATTAAATTTGTATGTAAACAATTATCTAATACCAGTCTGTAATTAAAGTATTGCTTTTAAAATTGTATATTTTCATCAAGTAAAATAAATGAATTAATTATTATTAGTTATAAGTTAATATTAAATACAATAAAGTTACCTGTGTTTATTGATATGTAAATTAAGCTAATTTAATTTGGTATAAGTTATATATATATTTTATTTATCTTATGTTAAAATAAATTATCACTGTAAGCATTTTTTTTCATGTGCAATTACTATTGAATTATTAATTGATAAAAAAAGAAATATATCATTTTTGTATTAGTTGATGTAATGTGCTAAGAAAATTAACAAAACAATTTCTTAGAATTAAAATTTTTAATTTGTAGAAGCAATGAAAAATGTAATAAATAAATATATCATTTTAGTTATAACTTATAATCCTTAATGTACTTATATTTTTATTTTGGCCATTTACTTAACGAATGTATTTTATATATATATATATATATTTAAATATAAAAATATTTTTAACTTGTTATTAATTTCTATTAATGTGTTATTCTAATAATGCAGAATTAAGATAAATAACATTGAAAAAATGACAAATAATTAAATGCAATGTTATGAAAGAATATTGAAACCATCTAATTAGGATTAGTCTTTCAATAGTAGTTGCTATTATTATTAAAATTATAGAATATACAAGTCTTATTCTTAAATAAATACACATATTTTATTATTTAATAGCTCTCATTGTCCCTATTCAACAGATCCGTGTCAAGCATTTAAGCGCTCCAGGGCAAAATTATTCTTCAGGGCCATTGAGCACAGTTAGTATTTTAAATGCAGATACAGGTGCCCCCTTACTTTTACAAAACTACTTGCTCGGTGGCAATACTCTTTTTGACCCCCCCCCCCCTAACATAGCCATGATATACAAACATTATTTTTAACTATAATTTTGCATGTTCATATTTTTAACATATTATAATAAATTTTACAATGCTTAGGGTTTGCATTTCAAATACGATTTTGCTAAAAGTATAAAAATTTTATTGTGTATTAAGAACAAGACAAATATTGCAATAAAAATATAATAATAATAAAATAAAATAAAAGATTTAACTTTTATCCTAGCTATAACATTTTCCATACCAAAGATTATACAATTATGATGTGAAATATATAATTCTAACTAAAAGATAGAAATATGAATTAGGGACGGATCTGAAATTTGTTTAAAAGAGAGGGTGGATAGGAATATTTATGAGTGATATATAAAGTACAACGAAAACTTGATTGTAATTTAAAATATTAAAATTAATATTATTAAATATTTTTTTACAGAACTGAAATTGTTCCATCATAAATATTTGAATAGTTATAATAAGTTAACCTTTTGGGTCTATTATTCAATAAAACAAAAATGTCTCCCACCTATGCAGTGTGATATGTGCATATGAAACTAGGGATGTCAAAAGGATGTTAAATTATTATTATTATTTTTGGTTTAGAACATGATTATACACGCAATAAAATAATACACAAGAAAAGTAATTGGATACTCGATACTGTGTAAAATCAAACGCAATTACCGCACGTGTGTACTAAATACAAATATAGTTTTAAGTTAAGAAATCAATAGAAAATTGATTTTTATGGTGATGTGAACTGTGTAAACTTATTCCCATAGTTTGTGTTAGAGATGGAAAATATGAATCAGTTAAATTAATCGATTCTTCTAATTCAGTTCAATTTATCGAATTGATTCTTGCAATTCGAACCTCCCCTGTGTTCGTCCCAGACTGTTTTAAATGCTTTATTATGTGTACTTGTTGATCAATCAATCCAATTTTAGAAACACTATTAAGAAAATCAAGAATTATCTTTAAAATACTAATTGTAATCAAATTTTGATCTGAGACTTATGGAGATCAATTCAGTTTTTAGATAAAAAACAATAAATTTAAATTTTTCTAATATTAAAAAAAATTAACATAACTCAAAAAAATAAAATTTACAAATTATAAATTATTTTATTTTGCAATTGAATAGTTCAGCCCAGGAAATACATTTTTTAAGTGTTTTTACAGCTTTACATTATTTTAAAATCACATCATCTTGAAGTAATGTAAAATTTAGAAAATAATACATAACATTATGTAGGTAATACAATATAAAATGTTTGTTTTTACTTTTAAAAGTCATAACACCTTCTATTATTAGCATTATATCTTCATCATCTTATTTAATCAAACTTAATTTTCTCTTTGAAAGATCAAAAAATATAAAACTTAATTTTATCATAAAATATATATTTCCTTTAAAATATTAACATAGTTATGTATAAATATGATACTTAATTTTTTTATACAAGCAAATTTTTGACCAATAAGTTTACCATAACACCATTTCATATATAAAATGGATAATTGTGTTTTGTTTGAGAAAATCAATATTTTAAATTTACAAATAAAATTAAAATGTAAAGATTATTCATAGTAAAATTGTCATCATTTCATCATTCATATAAAAAAATCATAAATAATATATTTTTAGAAAAGAAAAATCATTAAAGACAATTTTTTCCTACAATTTGAAGTAATTTTTTTATATAACTACCCACTATTAGGTAAACAATATAATTAGTTTTTGATATTTTATAATATTTTACTTTAGTTAATCGAAGGTGTTACTCCTCCTTTCCATTGTACTTCAATGTATGGCCACTTGGATTGTAAACAAGATTGCAAGTTATTGTCTTCGACTATACATATTACATCAGATTCTTGGATAATAGCATTACCTTCAATATAGGTAACTTTTGAATTAGGATTAGACCTTGGTTGTCCATTGTAATGAAATAACATGAATACATCTGGAGTTCTGGTTTCTTGTTCAGAAAAAAACTCATCCATAAATGATGGCATCAATATAATGCCCAATCCTTCAGAATCCAATTTTGTGGACATCAGATTCACGCTAAAAAAATAATTTTATAATCTGTGCAGCATTTATAAAATATTATCAATATCATTTACTATTCATCATCAGATACAAGATCTAGTTTTTCCAACAGTGGTTTTAGATTTTGAGTACTAATAAAATTGTTTCCATCTTGATCGAATAATTTAAATGTTCGCCTAGCAATATCAGCTTGAGTTTCTTTACTAACCAAATTTTGATCAAAAGAAAACAGAACTGAAATATTTTAAAATATTGTTAGTTTCATTTTTTAAGTAATTTAATGAAATTCAATAAGTTAAAACGTCTCTGCAATACCTGTGAGATGTGTATCGCTACCTAATACCCAAATAGGGTTACAAGGATTTTTCAAATAAGTTCCAACTTGGCAGTACCTTAAATGTTCTAATAAAGTTAAAAACCCAACTTCGCTTTGTTTGTCAATACCTTGTAATTCTATAGAGGGAAAAAATTAATTTTTATAAAAAATAAAAATAATTGAACTCATAAAATATTAATTTTATTCTTACTAAGCCCAGCTACTACTTGATCATTATTAAATACATTTGAAACTGCTTGTCCAGTGATCATCATATTAATTAAACATTGACTACCATAACCAAATTCTTTATCAATCAATGGTTCATCTAAATCACAAATTTCTTCTTTTAATTTAACTAAACCCTAAAAAAAAATATAAAATTCATTATATTATTCTTACTTATTATACATAGGTATCTATTTTATTTTATTTACCTTAGAGTGCATGACAGTATATAAAAATAATAAAACACCAAATGTATCACGCATAAAACTAATATGGTTGTTAAAAAAAGTTTCTATACTATCCTTATTAACTTGTTCTACTCTAAAAAAATGTAATAATAAATAATTCAGCAAGTATTTTCATATTATATTTGATTATACATACTTAAGCATAGAATGAAACTGGCTATGTTCAAGTACACCTTTATCATCAATTTGTACAAATTTTAATATATCACATCCATCTGTAGCTTGACATAGGATATCACAGGCAGCTTTGCATAAAAGACGGTTTTGTTCGTCAGCTTCGACTTACGAAATAAACATACATTACAATTTATCAATAAACTTATAAATTATCATGTTTAAATATTACTTTTTTCCAATCATCATCAACAGACTTGTTGCTAACAATGTTTTTAATAATGTAAGCTTGCATAGGTGCTAATACTGCACAAGGACCACCCTCAAATTGAACCAAGGCAGTAGGTTCATCTTCGCTGAAACAAAACCCTGCCAATGATCATTTAGGTGATCGGTCAGTAATAGACTACGACGGCTCACCTTGTGTCCATCGTTGAAATATGTCTTGTCGTACCTGCCGACCCCAAGTAAGTTTTATGATTTCTTCCAACTCCTTATCTGGAGCCATTTGTGACACTTCTACAGTTGCCATTATAATTGTTCACGGCCAACTCATGTCGAAACGTAAGAGGAAAAAAGTAAAATATATTTATTTATTAATTTATCGGGTGATACTCTTATAATGATAGTTTTTTGAACTAAGTGTTCCGAAAAAATAAAAATCCACGATGTAGAGAAGATAAGGTGGCACCGCTCTCGTATCTTTCAATGGTACGATATTGACGCAAAAAATCGCGGCAGTTTGATAGTTCAGAATTTATCACTAGAGTACGCTACCATTCGCATGAAGACTAATTTATACGACTTGTAATACTGACATTTACATTTTAACTACGTTCTAACTTTAGGTATATATTTATTTATAAAGTCGGGTAGTCCGGTCCAGTGTATTACCAAATGCATCATATGGTACGGTTTGGGCTAATACAGACTGAACCTTACGAATCATTCCAAAATGTTTTAAGATCGGACCGACAGTGGCATATACAGAAAATATTATTGAGAGGGGCTACTATGGACAGAATTAAATTACCACTGCTATCTAAGAATTACTAACAAGTAGCAGTAGCAGTGGCGTAGTGTGGGTATCGGCTGCCCGGAGCGGAAGACAATTTTGCCGCCTTCTTAATTAGGTATTTAAATTTAATGTATACTATACATTATATACATTTATTTTAAAGAACTTTTCGGCGAGAACAGTCATGAATTATACAGGTTAAATTTTAAATAAAAAAGTTTATTTGTTTTACAATCACGTTTATTAATACAAAAATGCATACTTCAACTATTGATATAACAGGTACAAAGGCATAGGCGCAACTAGGGGGGAGTGGCTAGGGGGATTAGCCCCCATAAATATTCCATGTTATACATGGCATACTGCATACAGCATACTTTACTCACAATAGTGTCACATACAATAAGACACATTGCAGTAAATCCAACTAAAATACCTGTATTAACATGGTAATAAGATTAGGGGTAATCTACAGATTATTTTAAGTTTTGATATGAGGGCTGTAACCCCCTCCAGTGGTTTTCTTAATTTATTTTTATTGGTTTTTTGATTAGGTAGTGTTGAATAGTAATTATGTGTTGACTTTTAATGAGGGATTTTCTTTTTACTGTTTGATGTAGGATTATTTATTGTTCTTTGGCTGTTCTTTTTTATGATTTTTGCTAAGTATAAGTTTGATGAGTGGTTGATGTTAGGCGTTGGATATATTTTATGTCTGTGTTTATAAGTCGTAAATCTTGATTTATTTTTTTTTTTTTTTTGTAGCTAGGATTGAAGAGTTGTTAATTTGTTTTGGTTTCTAATTAGGGATCTTCTTTTTACTGTTTGATGTCTTGTTGATTTATTGTTCTTCTGGTTCTTGTTTTATGATTTGTAATAGGTATTTGTTTGTTGTATATTTGGCATTTTGGTGTTGGATATATTATTACATTTGCTATTTCTAATTTCTCTTTTTGGTTGTTTGTAGTTGTTTAATTATTTAAATTTGATTTATAAATATACATCAAATTTAAAAATTTTAATCCAGTTGGATTTTCTGTTTTTGATCTCAAAAAAAATTGGACAAGGTACGTTACTTTTTGTTAATCCTTTTTTACATTTATTCATATTTCTAACGTGGCTTAAGATTTTTTAGACTGAAATTGAATATAATTTATGGAAATTCTAAAATAAAAAACACTATGAACAATGATCGAGCTTCAGCGAGGATTAATTTGAAGTACTCGTATAATTCAAAATAGTACAAAATAGTACTCATATCAAACTACCAAACCCTAAGAATCATGCATAGAGTACATAGACACATATTTTTGATTTTGATGTTAAATAAGCAATTAACATTAAACAACCTAAACAATTGTCTAATAATTATTATTCAGAACTTGAATTGTAGCATATTTTAACATACAAAGTCTGTGGAACTAGTGTCCCGCAGTGATAATCGGATGCTACCCAGTGATGGATGACCATGCTATTAACCAACACATTCTCATAATGACCGTAATGACAGAAGTTGATTATCCCTTTATGTTCCCCTTGTAGAAAATTTTATTAAAGTGCCACTCAGTGGAAATTATTTAAAATATGTTCTGACTTGAATAAAGTGGTAAAATAACAATTTTAAAGAAGTTTATTTCTAAAATATAAGAACATTGTTATCCATAATGTAAAAAAACAATAATTCATTATTATATATATATATTATGTGTTAATGTAGTACTTTATTTTAAATAATTTACATTTAACATTTTTTTTCAGTTTTAGCTTTTAATAGTATTAAATAAATACATAATTTAGTGGGCAGGGAAAGTCAAACCTAACCATGCAGGTTGAACTAGGTTTACAAGAGGCAAAAAACACTGTATGCAGAGACGGATCCAGAGTCTGGAAACTGTGGGTAAAGCCATTTCTAGAAGCCATTTATTAGGGATGAAACTGAATTAGAAATTGGTACCTTGTAAAAAAAAAAACACAATATGCTCATAAAAGTGTATAAGTATATTAATATTACATTTTAGAATTAGTGATACCACCGATAATGACTTATTTACGATTAATAAATATAATCTAATTTTATCAGCGCGGAATTTTGACGTACGGAATAAAATATGATTTACTTAAATCTCTACTAAAACGATATAATTTAAAATATAAATTATGAATCGAAAAATTTTAAATTTTGAATATACATGGCATTCATTTTTCAAATAACTCCGATGGGCCAATTGTCTAAGAGTCCAAATCAAGGTCTAAAAAGAGAAAAAATATCCAAGAGGCCAATTTTGTCAACAAATATCAACTGTGGGTCAACTGACCCCCTGACCCCCCTAGATCCGCCACTGACTGTATGTATTGAAGTTCTGTATACATGTCATATTATTTAATACAAGTAAAAATAAACAACCTAACCTATTATAGGTACATATTTAAAAGGTACACTATATTACATAATATACTGTACCTACATATAGTAAAATTAATCGTACTCAGACTCAAAATGATTGGCAGGTTTGTAATGTACTACTTATCATTATATTTTTTATACTCATTTGTTAGTTACTTTGTAATTGTAATAATTACTATGTAAAAAAACATTAAAGTGTCCAAGAACCAATTGTGAAAAGTCACGTACAAATATTAATATCAATGAACGACAAAAAACATAAGTAAAACACGTAAGCTCTTGAATCGTACAATCGCAAGTTGCAAAATCAACTAGTTGACAGGGAAGCGATTCAGCAGCATATATAAGGGCTCTGGTTCAGCACCAACTTCAGACGTATCCAGCCATCCAGTTTAAATGCTCAGCTTCTATTTGTTATTATCAATGTACTATGTTGTTATATTATCACCTAACACCTAATTTAATTTAATTATTATTATAAGCATAAAATTAATATATTGTCAGCAAACGCACACATACGCACACACTACCTTCACGAAATGCTGACCAGATAGATTGCAGTAGAATAAAACACCTCCCCGCATTACGTGATGTTGTTGGTTCTACTGCCATCGATGTGGAGGACGGAACGCTGCCCGTTTTACGAGCGAAGTAATCGGTTATTCTTGTTTTGTTTTTTTTTTGTGTTTATAAATATTTTTTGTTTCATTGTCTTAAATTAAAAGGTTTTAAATATAATTATAAAAGGTGTTCGCATTAATTTTTCTACTTTACGTACTTGTGCGAGTATACGAGAAAGTTGGTACATTTACAAAAAGGGTATTAAAATTATATTGTATTTCAAACCTCAATCCAGTGCTAGATCTTATTCTTTGTCAGTTTGAGGAGAGAGTATAATATAGCTAGGTAAAGGTTACCTCACGCTCGAAACATCCAGTGCTAGATCTTATTCTTTGTCAGTTGTTTCGAGTGTAAAATAACTTTAGAGCTACTAAAGGAAAGTAGGCCTTTTTAATAAACCTGTTTTCGACTATCCTATTAAGCAGTGCTAGACTGTATTCTTTGTCACTTAATGAGGTAGTCGTCTGGGCCAATTAGGTTTTTCTTTATGTGCTTGTTTGACGGTTAGAGTGTCCAACAACCGACAGATACCCTTTTTGGTATTGCTATACGTCAAGCTTTTGCGTGGCATATACGAAAATGTGTATGTTGATGTTAAAATAAAATTGTTAATAAATATCAGTTATACCACAACAAATGTTCTTGATAGTCTATTAACTTAATACAAAAATACTTTTACATCTTAACATTGTGTAACTATGTCGAACTCACTACTCAGCACGTTACAAGTTAGTTAACATATATTATTTTGCTAATGCAGAAAAATTCAATATAATATTATAATATAATATATCAATAAGTCTATCTATAGTTTATAGTTTTTTTTTCCAAACATCTTTTATTTTTGGCCAAGTCATATCTGTATCTGATAAATAAAAAATATAAGTTGTGAGTTATTAACATAGATATTAAACCAAAATGATGATAGGATTTTTACTTAATTTTTAAAATTTTTAATAAATAAATAATTATCACTAACCTTTTGTATCATGTATAGGGAACATATATATAGTACATATGAATATAGATTATTATTATATTACAATGTATTAAGTATATATGACACAATATATATATATATATATATATATATATATAAAAGAATTGCTGTTCGTTAGTTTCGTTAAGACTCAAGAATGGCCTGACCGATTTCATTAATTCTTTTTTTATAATATTCCTTGATGTACGAGGATGGTTCTTACGGAGAGAAAATTTTAAAAAATTGCCTGAAAAAGTCTAAAAATAACATTTTTCTATATTTCCATACATAAGATTAAAAAAAAGTCAATTAAAAGTCAATTAAAACTATTGAAATATAAAATGGATTTAATTGTTAAACATTGTGTGTTTGGTGAGACACGCTGCTGGATGTATCCTGTAGAGTGGCAGAAACGTGGATTGCCGCATGCACACATTTTGATTTGGTTGGTTAAAAAAATTAGGGCAAATGAAATTGATGAAGTCATATCAGCTGAAATCCCTAATGAACAAGTAGATCCTAGCTTACGCGAGGTAGTTATCAAAAACATGATACATAGTCCATGTGGAACACTTAATCAAAATGCACCGTGTATGGTAGATGATAAATGTTCAAAGCGCTATCCACGGCGATCACTAGCAGACAATGGAAGATCAACAAATGTCAAAATAAATCAACAAGATATTGAAATAGATAATCACTGGATTGTTCCATATTCACCGATCTTGTCAAAAACTTTCAAAACACACATCAATATTGAATCTTGTCATTCAGTAAAATCTATCAAGTACATATGTAAATATGTAACCAAAGGAAGAGATATGGATGTGATTGGATTTGGTGCAAAAAATTTAAACGATGAAGTAACTCAATACCAAATGGGCCGCTATGTTAGCAGTAATGAAGCATTTTGGCGAATTTTTTCTTTTCCAATTCATGAAAGACACCCCACAGTTGTTCACTTAGCCGTGCACTTAGAAAACGAACAGAAAGTATATTTTACAGCTCAGAATGCAGTACAGAAAGATCAACAGCCACCATCTATCTCGTACTACCATTTTTTTTCGAGACGTGCCAAAATGATAATTTCGCACAAACACTGCTGTATTTTGAAATGACAAAATATTATACTTGGGATCAACCAACAAAGAAATTTATACGAAGGAAAACCAGTTCCAGGTTGCCTAGTTGCATATTCAACCGATTTAATAGGTCGAATTTATTCTATTCGTCCAAGCAACGATGAATATTTATATTTACGACTGCTATTAGTTAATGTGCGTGGCCCAACATAATTCCAACATTTACGAACAGTTGATGGTGAATTTTGGGCGTTAGGTGAATTGCGTCCCATTTCCATAAAACTAGGTGAATTGCGTCCCTGTTGTAATTTAATACTAGGTGAATTGCGTCCCTGTTATATTTTAATACTCGGTATGTAACAAATACATAAAATATACTAAGTTAATACATTAGTTGAAATATAATTTACAAATTAAATAAAAAAAATCCAATAAGTATATACAATACATTTTCATACTAAATATTAATAACATTTGTAGGTCAATTATTTAATTATTCGTCAATTATTTATGTAAAAAATAGTAAAATTATTATAAAAGTATATTAAACTGGTAAAAATTTAAATGAAACGGCTTTGACGTATTCAAATCTGGTCAGTAATTTATTATTATATTCAATCATTTTTTCTCCAATATAATTTTCTTTTTCGATAATTTGACGTGATTTTCTTTGTCCATTACTACGTATTTTTATATATGTTTCAGATTGAATATTTTTTATAACATCAATAAAATTGTAAATATTTGGATGACTAGAGATAAATAGATTATTTAATTTAGAGTGGAATGCCTCACAACTGTTGGTTGTCCGATTTGTTGTTGGTGTAAATTCAGCCCAGAGATATGGTGGAAAACTAGCATCTTTTGTAATGTAAGTTTTAAATATGTAATCTATGAATTTATTAATTTGTTCGTCTTCAATAAGTAAAATGGATTGCAAATCATTTTGAAAGCATTCTTCTACCTCATCTGAATGTAAGAAAGGCAACCCAAATAAATACTTTAAAAATTGCCCTTTTTCAGAATTATAATCTTTAAAAACTTTTGTCAAACCAAGATACTGTATTATTCTCCACCAACTTTGCCCTAGATGAAAACGACATCCCTTAATTTGAGCTGTAGGTAATACATGTCTTACAGCAGAATGTATTGCGGATTCAAAATCGATGTGGACATATGTAGGAGAAAACAGGAAACCATTTGTATCACAATGATGTAATACATGTTTAAATAATTGCACATACGTTTCAGTGTGTTTGTTTTGTAGTAAAAAATATATAAGAAGCACATAATTATCATTATGGAGTCCATGAATTGTAAAAACTTGCATAAAAAATTTTGGACACGATTTAAATGTACCATCAATATAAATATGTTGTACTTTGCATAATACCTCTAAATTTGATATCGTTGAAAAACCAACTATGCCATTTGGTTTGTCATTCACCAATAAAAATTTTTCCAGTTTATTGGTTTTTATTTCGTACACACATAAAGAATCGTGTAGTTCGGAAAGGCTATTCGGTAGTTTTGGGTGAACAGATGTACGTGCATAACGAATATTTCTTTTAATTAGTGCCACATCGCTAGTTGTTATTGTTTCTACGTCATTATTTTTTAATTCTACTTGTAAAAGTTTCGATGGTGTTGACGAAATATCATCTATAGCTTATCTTTTAAGAGAATTACTAATATTTTGTCGATTTAATAATTTTTGTTCTGGTTTTGGGTGATTATGCTCTTTAGATTGTTCTTTTATATTAAAATTATTTTCACATTTAAAAAAATATTTACAAGATTTTATACAGCAGCACCAACGTTGTATGTCATTTCTTAATAGTTTTTGGAATCGAAATTTAAAACCTTCAATTATAACTATTTTTTTATTTTTTTCACTTATTGAAAACTCCATTTAAAATTAATAATAAATAAAAAATTACACTGCAGTATACTGACGATTGACGACTGCGGACTGACGGACGACTGCTTGTCAACTGCATAATATGTTGGGAAATTTGAAATCACAAATATTATATAGTAATTATATGTTAACGCAATTGTTGTCGCGAACGGTCGAATATAAATGTAAAAATATACTCAGTCCGATTCTAAACGCGCGTATTGCATTGATACTGAAACGGTCATGTGAGATAAAATATTATTTAATTCTTGGATATTCCGATAAAAGATATCAATACAAACAAAATAAAATAAAGGTTCTGCTGTTCTGCAGTTATATCGCTTAGAATGAAATATTTTGTGTGTAACATTTCAAAAAGTATCGGGGACGCAATTCACCGAACCCGGAATTTTGTAGATTTAACAGAGAAACCTATCATTGTTTGCAACTGTTAGAAAACGATACACATTGGGATCAAACTCTTAATGATGCTGTAATTTCATCACAAGCTCATCATATACGAACATCGTTTTTCATTATTATATGTAAATGCTTCCAATCAAAATCAATTGATTTGTGGATAAAATGTGTGACGATATTTTATTTAATATACGCAATAGAACAGGGAATCTGAATTTACAAATAGGCATAAAAAATTACAATACAAATACAATATAAATTTATAATTAGACATTGATTTTAATTGAGGATATGTGCTTGATGATGTCAAATAAGCTATCATGTCAATTGAGGATGGCCGCGCCCAATGCACGATCCTTTTCATCAAGAATTACAACGTGAAAAATCGTATGATCTCAATACTTTGAAAGAATCAATTCAAATAAATCTTTCACTATTGAACGAAAAACAAAAATATGTATTTGATACTCTTATGAAAGTAATAAATGATAGAACTGGAGGGAATTACTTCTTGAAGGCTCCTGTTGGACGTGTCATATTATAAAATGATCAATCTGAAGACATATTCTCTCAAAAACTCATTGATATTGTAATGATATGGTAATGGCAAATTTCCTATATATGTGCTGACCGGCTGCATCACCTCTCCCAAGAGTTTTTGTCAGTTAACGCAATCAAAAGCTGAACTCATTCATAAAGTGTTTCCAAATGTTGCTTAAAATTACTTATTCCATGATTGGTTGAGCGAACGAGCTATACTGGCTGCCAAAAACACTGATGAAAATTAATTAAATTTCAAAATTCAAGATGACATTCCTGGCGAAAAGGAGGAAACGTTTTCTGAACGAAATTTGAAATTTCAAAAGGGTGTATTGAATCAAGATAAATAGAATCATTTATATGGCAATTTTTATTTAATTCATTCTAATTTAATTTATTATAATTGCTAGTATTTATCTCATCAGAAATATTTTTTCTAACAATAATATAATAATTATTAAATTCATTCAATATATCAGATTTGTTAGTTAAAGGAATATTCAAAACGTTACTGTTCGGGCAGTTTATTGGAGGTTAGGTTCTTTTTTCTTAGAACTATATGAGAATTAATTTATTAATTTCCATATGGTTTTCATATTGTTTTTAGATAAAAGTATTAGATCACTATAATATAAATAACGAGCTTTTTTAATTAATAGGTTCAAAAGATTTCTATATTTGATATAAAATTATTTAAGTTTTAAATCAAAAGGTGATTTAAGTTTTTTTTTATAAAGTTTTTGTCTATTTTTAATTGATATAAGAAGACTATTTTTATCCATATTTTGATTTTATTGATTTTTTTAAATTTATTTTTTGAAGTAAATTATGCGATGGCTTGCCTGGTAAATCCAATGAGTTTAAAAACTCTGTTGGATAATTTACAGTTTCAGTAGCATTGCAAACTGTATCAATAGATTTGTATGACACCAAGTCTCCTAGTAACAAATGTTGTATTTTACGATTCAATTCGTTGACGTCCACATTTTTTGCTGCTAAATTTGCTTTTTGCCAGCCACTCATGATTTGTGTATTGTCTCTGTACATTGTGTATATCAAAAAAAAAAATTTGAGCCAAATCGGCGCAACCGTTCTCAATTGATGAAATGTTATACATTTTTGGCTCCATTTTGATATATTTAGATTTGCGATATCGTATTGATATTTAAGAATTGATAAAATGCATAACTCGTATTTTATAGTAAAACGCTTATTAATGACAAAACCTACATAAACTTTAACGTATATTAAGACATTTCGTTTTAAATTTGTTACACTAATTTATCGTTAAAATAAAAAAACTAATTGATACAGTAACATGTAGCCTTACATACCTTAAGGCTTAAGAAATCACTGATTTATAACAAATTCAAATAAACGACCAGTCAATTTCGTTACGGCGTGGTGTATAACAAATTAATAAACTTAGTATGAGTATCTTATAATTTAGGTATATCTGAAGCGTCATCGCTTATCGCGGAAATTTCCCCACATTGTACATTATCTACTATAATTATTATGAGATACGAGTTTTAATGCTTCTTTCCTTCACGATTACTATTAATATGATAAAATAATATTAATACATTCAATTCCGAAACCTATTTGCCGTGCCGTTACCCAGTGGCGTAGCCAGGATTTTTAAATGGAGGGGGCTAACCACTTTTTTGGATAAATAAGGTAAGAGAGGATATGAGAATTCACCCTTAACCCCCCCCCACCATCTACCAACAAGTTTCTAAACTTAATTCAAGCATTTTAGTATAGTTTTAAAAATATTTATTAATATATAATTTATAATAATAATAATAATTTTGGTTTTAGTGTTCAGTCCCTTGCTCCACTCTGACAGCTGCATCCTCTTAGGCGAATTTCTGGCAAATTCAGTTATTATTTCACTTTCATCGAATTGCTCTTTTTTTATTTATATAAGCCATAGCTAACTCATTCAGTCTGTTTTCCGACATGGTGCTTCTTAAAAAAATTTTTAAGCGATTAAGTGCTGAAAACGTTCTTTCCGGAGTGAAAGAGGTAACGTGGCGAATAATTGTAAAAGTATTTTAATGTTAGGTCGAAGATTGGTACGATGAGAGAGTGAATCAAGAGCAGAATTCGGTTTTGGAATAGTATTTTGACTCTATTGTTGCCTCCATATGAACAGGTCAGCTCTGATTGTAGATGAAGTATCATCATGGAGATCTTGGACATATATTTTAGCAGCTTTTATAATATTTTTATCGTCATACATATTTAAATTGGCCGGAATAAGTCCTTCAAATGGCATAACATCAATAAGCCTTTGATTAAAACGAGCATCCATTGATTCTATTAAATAGTCAAGATACATTATACATATAAACACGGCCCATGGGGAGGGCTATAGCCCCCTTAGACCCCCCCTTGGCTACGCCACTGCCGTTACCAGAACGAATTTCCACCCGGTCAACTATATATATTGTTATTTGTCATATATTTCTGTAACACTCTGTATTCCATTTTAGAACCTACACGTATATTTTCATATATTTTATAATTAATAATATTATTTTATATATTATATTATTGCATATTTTTATATTTTATATTTAAAAATAATACCTCAACGTAGTTTTTGGGGCACACCAAAAAAAAATTTTCCGCCCTAGGCTTTAACCTACACAGCTTAAGCCGTAATACGGCCCTGAAGAGATGAGAGGATCGCGACAACAACGTGAACTAGTTTTTCGGAGCAGTTATCATGGCTGAAATTAACGATAGTTTCATTATCATCTTATGTTTGTTATCACTAAATATAATATAAAATCTATAAATATGATACAGAATTTAAACTAACGTTATTAGCTCTATTAATATTTACAGTGAATTAGAATATTCGTGATTTTTCAATTTACCTTATGTCTTTGTAGTGTCATCAGATAAAGGGGCGGGGGAAATTGACCTCTCGGATATAAGGCGGACAAAACTATAATATGAAAAATAATGAAAAATAGTTCCTGTGCCACTGGTCTTGATATTCTCTCAAATGTATACAGTACAATAAATTCTATGCATTTTGAGTCCTCAATTTTTCTAAGCTGAGGCCCCTTGACAGCGCTGATCACCCCCAGTCCTACTTCTAATTGACGCACAGTTTGGATGCTGGAGTAATTATAATTCTTTTTGAACACAATTATTTTATTGTGTTATAAGACCAGAACATTAAGTTCAGTGTCGTATATAGAAAAAACCAGTTATATAATATAATATTATTATATATATACTATATTATAATATAATATAATAAAATGTAGTAATATAGAAATAATATTTACCTATTTGATATTATATATTAGTGATAACAAACACAGGATAATAATGAAACTATAAATAATTTTAGCTATGATAACTGCTCTGAAAAACTAACCCATGTTGCTGTTGCGATCCTCTTGTTACAAGAGGATCTGGTGTCACCTTATCTTCTCTATACATCGTAACAAATTCAAAAATAAATAACATAACCTCAAAAAACTTTTATCAATTTTCTGAATTATTTAATTTGCCGAAATAGTATTTCTCTCTCTTACATTTGTAACTAATCAATAGTAAATTTCTAGTGAAAATTATTTTAAGTAAACTTTTTCAACTAAGTTCTCATTTGCATAGTTTTGCAAATGACTAGTCATTTTGGTCACACTGCCAAATCCCCTTCACTCCGTCATAAATTCTGTTTATTTTTAATAGACGTTTAATCTTACTTTGATTTCATAGTGACTTATCTTTGATCTCTGATATAATAACTAATAAATTAAACTATTGAAATTTACCATTATAGTTTATGCATTATCTAATTAGAACTATCGCACATTAACCCAACATCCGAAGAAAATATACTGACACAGCTTACAGGGATATGGAATAGTGGAATCTGGTGACGTACAATCCAGGTATAATCATGTGCTAATGATTTTCTATAATATAAATCTAAATGAGTTTTTTTGCCCATCAAATCTAACGTACTAACTGCTACGTTGTTACGCAATAAGGATCATTCAATTATATGACCTTACTGTTGACAAATATGGTGTTAAAATAATTTTAAAATCTAACAATATACTTGACGATCATGTCATAATTAAATACTTATATTACTTATTTTAAACATTTTGGTCCTGAATACATAATAGGTATGGTTTCCTAGTAGCTTATTTTGGTTATAATTGTTAATAGATAATAAATTAATTTTTGGATTGTGTTAACACTATTCTATAATTTATTTGTTGATTGATACATTTTTTATTGAAGAATAATATTGGAAAATAAATTTCATATGTGCATAGCTATAAATTTTGTACACATTGTTAAATTTGTAGATTTTTACTTAATAATAAGTTTTATTTTTAAAATGTAAGTAATTTTTTTTTTTACCATTCAACTTCAATGTAATAATTTGTTAACTAAGGTTGAATATCTTTTAAATCAGTTTATCTTTTGTGAAATATATTAATTCTAACATTTATGTGTAATTTATTCTTGTATACATTTGAACTATAGATTTTAATTTTGTTTTTAATCATGCAGATTAAATTTAATTAATGTCTTATTAATTATTCAATATATTAATTAGATACCTATACCTAGTTCAATTACAAGAACAATAAATATTATTTTAGTTAATGAAGCAATAAAGCTAGCAACTTATATCAAAATTTGAATTATTAAAATATTTGCATAGGGAAACACTTAAATATATTTTTATATATTTTGTTCTATTGTTACTATTGTTTTATTTTATTTTGAACATCATTTAATCAACAAATTATTGCTATATCATTTCAGTGATGAATTAATTTCTTTGTTTTAATATCATTGAAAAACGGAGGAAAACATTTATTTATTAAATATGTAATTTAAACAAATAATTAATGATCAGTTTCCAACTTCTACCTAAGTAAATTAGGCAGCTTCCTAGAGGCCCTTACTTTACTAGAGATCAGACTCCCATCCAAGTACAAAAAAAAAAAATTTAATACATATACATACATTTATTTTTTAATTATGATAAGATTATGTGATGTGTATAATAATTACTTATTAGTAAAAACTAGATTTATATGTATTATATATTATAATATATGCATGCGAAGATCCACCAAAAAAAGTCAAAATATGAAAAAAAAAATGCAAAACATGCAAAATAAAATTTAAATTTTTATTAAATTTTATATTTAATTTTAATTTTATGATAATAAAAAGTGATAATTATTTATTTATTTTATAAAAAAATTTCATAAATATATATAATAAGATGTATAGTATAACAAATATGCAATACAAAAATGTAATTTGTTAAATTGTAATTTACTTTTTAATCATTAATACATTGTCAAAAACATTTTATTAAAATTAAATAGTAAATACATTGGTGAAAAATAAATTGGTAAATTACAAAATAATTTTTGGCTAAAAAACACGCACACTCAATACTTTAACTTGGCTACAATGTAATTCTTACTATCAATTGTCTTGTGTAAATGTATCAGTGGTTGTAATAATGTACCTACATTTGTTGTTTTAGGTATTTTATCAACAAGAATAGATAAAATAGGTAGAGCCATGTCTCTATAAAACTCGTACAACCAACCTATGGAAGTTTAGTAACCTATTTTTAGCATCTGAATATTCTTTGAGCTGTATCGTTAGGTTAGGTTAGGTGTATATTTGTACGGGTTTTTTGTTAAAATATGCAAAAATATATAGAACATACACTAATTTCAGAATATGCAAAAATACGAGTATACAATATAAAATGTTGCTATTTAAACAATCCAGTAATGATTTGTGAATACTCATTGATTGCATGTATATGATATTGAAAATTGCAACATGCATTTTATGAAAAATCCTGTCTACTTATTAGAGTATGTTGGATTTATAAAAATTAAAATTAGTTTTTTTAATATATTTTTAAAATCCCGCTGCTTTAGTAACTATCTTGAGGCCCTGAGACTCTTAAATTTAGCACTGATAATAATATATAAATTTAAATATATTATAATCAAATACTATATACACAAATGGATGTTACAATTCTTTTAGTTATAAAAAAAAAAACTTCGCCGTTTATTATTATTAGTAATTTATTTAAATTTTAGTATAAATTTAAAATTAATTTATATGTTTTTTTATAAGTTGTATTATAATTCTTCAGAAAACATGTCATTAAAACCAAAACCAATTAACTTCACGGAAAAATGGAATAACTTACAAGAGACTGTAAAAGGTGTTATAACACTTGATCGAGTTCCTAGAGATGCATGGAATGAACGTTTTAATGATGTTTATTCTATGTGTGTGGCCTTCCCAGAGCCTCTTGGTGATCAACTTTATGACTCAACAAAGTTGTTCTTAGAAAATCATGTGCTTGAGTTATTAACTATTATACAAACTGGAGGTACTGCAAATCTTTTACAAAATTATTTCTCTTATTGGCAGAAATATAGTAAGGGCGTTAAATACCTACATTCACTTTACCAGTATGTATTTTATTTCTTATATTTTTGGTTTATATTGATGTATATATGTATATATTTATATAAAATAAACTGTTTTGCTAGATACCTTAATAATCAACATATTAAAAAACATAAACTGTCTGAAGCTGAAGTGTTATATGGAAACATAACTCCCGATTCCACTGAACAGATGGAGGTTGGAGAACTTGGACTTGATGTATGGAAACATAATATGATCGTACCACTTAAAGATAGTATGCTTGAATTATTATTAGATGAATTTGACAAACAAAGACATAACATATCTATGGCTACATCTTTGGATATTATTTCTGGTGTAATCAACTCTTTTGTTGTTGTTCAAGAATTTAGAAAAAAATATCCTCTTGAAGTAAATATATTTATGTACTGTTATGCAACAGAATACTTTATATTATTAATTAAATATTATTTTTTCTTATCATAGTTGTATCAAAGTTATTTTGAACAACCATTTTTGGAGCAAAGTAGTGCATACTTCAAACGTGAAGCTGCAAGATTGTTACAAGAATGTACAGTATCTGAATATATGATTAAAGTATTACAAATATTGAAAGAAGAAGGAATAAGATCAAAAAAATATCTTCATGATAGGTTATTTTTCATTATATTATAACTGTAACAATATTCATTTACAAATTGAAAATTGGTTTTTTTTTTAGCACTTATAATAAATTACGTGAACGATGTCGTCAGCATATGGTAGGTGATCATTTAAAAATTTTACACGGTGAGTGTGAAGCCATGATTAAAGAAGAACGACGAGATGATATGCACAATATTTATTTACTTCTACGTGAAGTTAAAGATGGAATGAATTCATTAGTTGACATTTTCAGAGAACACATAAAGCAACATGGAATTAAAGTTATAGAGTCTTTAAAACAAGAACAAGTATTTTTTTACTAATTATTATTATGTGTTTATTATAATTAATAATTTTTTTTTTTTTAATAGATATATATACATTTCATTGAGGAAGTATTGGCTGTTCATAAAAAATACAAATCTATGGTAATAGATGTATTTGACAATGATTTGTGCTTCAGTGGTGCTCTTGATAAAGCATTTACAGTTATCATAAATTATAAACTAGTTAAAAATCAACCGTCAAAATCTCCAGAATATTTATCTAAATACTGTGACAATTTATTAAAAAAATCGTCTAAAGGCATGTGTGAAGCTGAAATAGACCATAAGTTATTACAGTCTATCACTATATTTAAATATGTTGACGATAAAGATGTATTTCAAAGGTTTTACCAAAGACATCTTGCAAAACGATTAATACATCAACAAAGTCAGTCAATGGATGGGGAAGAAGGAATGATTAACAAATTAAAGGTAACCTAACACAATTTTTTTTAATTTTCATTATATTAATTTACTTTTTTGTTTTTAGCAAGCATGTGGTTATGAGTTCACAAATAAATTACATCGTATGTTTACTGATATCAGGGTATCTGAAGGACTGAACACAAAATTTCATAGTGAATTTCTTAAATCTGGGGATGAATTAAGTGTTAATTTTTCTATGTATGTGTTGCAAACTGGAGCTTGGCCTTTGGGATCATTACCTGTGTCATCATTTGCAATTCCTAGTCAATTGATACCTTGTATGCAATATGTGAGTATTTTAATTAAATAATGTCTATATTTTTATAATGTATGTATTTTATTTCATTTATTTTGAATAGTTTGAGGAATTTTATAAAGAGAAATTTAATGGGCGAAAGTTAACATGGCTTCACCATCATTGCCAAGGTATTGTTAATTATTATTAAGTTGATTACAAGTAATAAGAAATAATATATTTTATGTAAAATTAGGCGAGTTAAAATTAAATTATTTATCAAAAGCCTATATGGTGACAATGCAGACATTTCAAATGGCAATAATGTTAGTATTTGAAGACCATGATACTTTCAAATACACTGAAATCCAAGAATTACTTCAATTAAATATTGAACAATTTCAAAAACACATCAACAGTTTAATAGAATGTAAATTATTATTGATCAATGGTGATGTAAGTAGATATTTTCAAATAGCTTTTACATTTTTAAACAATGCTATTTAATTATTGTTGTATTTAGAATGTCTCTTTAAATATGGCATATTTCAATAAGCGCACAAAATTGCGTATAACAGCAACTCTTCAAAAAGATACTCCACAAGAAATAGAACAGACTGTGAATTCTGTTGAAGATGACCGTAAAACATATTTACAAGCTGCTATTGTACGAATAATGAAAGCGCGTAAAGTATTGAGACATAATCAACTTGTAAATGAGGTGGGTAAAAATACCTAATGTTTTTCATATTAATTATACTTATGCAGTAATTGTATTTTAGATATTGTCCCAATCAAAGTCATTTGCACCATCAATTGCTCTAATTAAAAAATCTATTGAGACTCTAATTGATAAAGGATATCTAGAACGTACTCCAAATTCATCTGACGGTTATAGTTATGTTGCATAATATTATAAATTATATTTGTATTTAGTTATATACATTATTTTTTTGTCTCATTCAAGTTTGTTATTTTTTCCACGATTTGTAACATTGTTTTTTTACTGTATATATTTAATATTTATAGATTTATAATGCTATTCTTGTAAACTAAACTGTGTATCAATCTAATTTTTTTAGTACCATATATAATTTAATGTCTTAAGTTAATCAGAAAATATTAATTGTATGATTGATGCCTTCTATATTATTATTACACATCTACATTACAATTTTGTAGGAAAAAGTTAACCTGTATGTCAGAACTTAAAATTACTGTTACAAATATATAATATTGTTAAATTGCTACTGTATTTTTTCAGAGCACATTTACTATTATTTATATATTTGAATTATGATATGTCTCATTTGATTAACAAACTAATGATCAAAAAATGTATTTGTTGTAATTAAAATTTAAAATGAATGGTATATACTGTTGAAATAATTTGTTATTTGGTGTCCATTATAAAATTTGTCTATTCTATTCAGCTTAACCCTGTGATATACAGGAATGAACAGGATATTGGTATGTACACAAAAATATAAATGCTCACTGGATATAGCCCTTTAACTTTGTTCAACTATCAATATCCTTTAATTTATACTAAACTTATCAGTTTTTTCTTCATATTAAATATATATCATCTTAAAATGCTCTCTATTATTCAGTTACGAATGCTTTATGAAAGCCTAAAATTTCGTTTTTTAGTCAAATCGGCTTGTATGTCAAATATATATTATTGTAGGCGGGGCACAGCACACTACTTCAACAGTCAATTATAAAGCGTAGAATAACAGTTGACAAATTACCATCTTAGTGCTAGTAATTTAAAATCCGAACAATATCAAGTATGTTTTATGTGTCATCGCCGCCTGTCATTTGGACCACCATTGTTCAACGCCATTTATCAGGTATATACATTTAATTTACAATATTTTATTTTTAAGTCATAAACATCATTGTGTTGCTCAATTTATAACTATATATTTTATGAGCCTTTGGAGTCCTGCAACATGGTTATAAATATTAACCTGGGTCATTGGTGAAGGAAGACTTGCTACCGCCCCTGACAAACAGAAAAAACATCTTTTTACTAATTTAAAATTTGATGTAAAGATATCTTTTATTCTTTAATATTACAAAAAAATTTTATGATTACAATTAATAATTAGTAGTTACTAATACAGTGTACATTTTATACTTTAAAAATTTACTTTTCTCGTTTTAAGACTGGCAAATTCGTTGATAATTTCATCATTAAATTAATTAATAAGGCGGTGTACTAAACACAGTTGTCGGTTTATATTATTCTATGGTTTGAACCCAGTCATTATTAATTTTGTTTTGTAGACGGAACGACAGCCTAAGTCCCCACACAAATAAACCATTACAAAACTACTGTACATACTCTAAAATATACAAGTGAACAATTTTTTGGAACTATCCAAAAATTTTATCTCAGAAATAATATCTATACATAAATGTATCAGTATTCATAATGTAATTAGTTCTGTCATATTTTAAAATTTAATGGGCAAGCTAAATTTTAAATATATAGGTAGTGCTATATAAAATAACTTAGAATTGACGATAAATACAATTAATAAAGTAAATTCCAAAATTGCTCATTTTATTATGAGAAATATAGACAGTTATGAAACAAATGTTCAGATTATTTTCTATTTGATGTATTGTCAACGTTTAAGGGAATGAAAACTAGTTTCCATAAGTGTTAAATTTTCAATTTAACATAGGTTTGATTACAAAAAAAATCGTGTATTGTAAGACCAACCCAATAGCTCAGAACTTGAAATACGAAGAGTTAGTTATATTGTTATATTATTAACTTAATAATGATAACTAAACACTAAACAGTTATAGTAAAATATTTGAACAATTTCGACAGAGAACGATGACAATGATGATATTCAATATATCATTCTACAGTTACACTAGAAAAAAAAATCAATGTGTTATGCAAGAGAATAGTCAACCGAATCCATTCGCGCTAATCGGGAACGCACTTATACTGCTTCCACAGAAGCTCAAAAGTTCAAAACGAACACTATTCTTTATAGAGTACGAAACATTTTTTAATACTGCAAGAATATGTGCCCTAGTTTGTATAACCGACAACGTTACAATTCCTAACTGAATTACGCTCATTCAATTATAACCGTTCCAGTGACATAATTAAATTTACCATCACTAAGGTCAGTAATAATGCACAACCAATAGGTAATATAAACTATATGTAATAATATTCTATTTAACATGGGTCGTTTAGGGATATGGAGGAAAAAGCGATTCTGGATATTTCAGACTTGCGATGCACCGAGACAGATTCCCGGGACACAGTGTTGGACGGTATTTTAGGAACCGGGCCTCATTACGGTACGATGGTGTGTGAAAGATGTATCGATTGCGCGAGACTATAATCGTAATTTTGTCGCTTTTTAGATTACAACGATGTGACGACCAGTCCATCGGATCGATGTGCAGACGACAACGACCAGTCGTCCGGGTCTCTGAGCACGGATCAAAATTCGAATAGCAACGTAAAAAGGAAGCAACGGAGATACAGGTGGGTGTTTAAGTACCTATAATATTTACCGAACCAGGTGCCGAAATGAACCAGAAATACCTATAGGTATGTTATGTCAAAAGTCACTCCAAAATCCCGGAATTCAACATTTTTTCCAGAAACCATATTAATATTGTTTTTTACTAAGTGAACAACTGATTACAGTTTAAATATATTAAATAAAACTATTGTATTGCAATTATATATAAAAAGCATCTCCCATTTACCTTTAATTTTTTTTTTTTTTAATTTAAAATGATTATTGCTTTCAAATTAGTGACCTAAACCCAAATTATATCGAAAAGACTCAATACACATTATTTCTTCTCGAGTCTTAGAGTATAACTCCTTATAGGGAATTGTGTTGATTTCATACTATTTTATATGTATCCTGGTACTATGTGGATTTCGGTCTTCTGTTTTCAGAACTACATTCACAAATTTCCAACTGGAAGAACTAGAAAACTCATTTCAAAAAACACATTACCCCGATGTATTTTTCCGTGAAGAATTGGCTATGAGAATTGATCTGACTGAAGCTAGAGTACAGGTAATAATAATTGTATCAAACACTTGCTGTATATTTTATCCATATATTTATATCCATGTCATAAACGAAATTTAAAATTTGATAGAGTGAAAAATGTCTGTAGTATGTCATAATTCAACTTTCGATCGAAAGTACGACTAACATTATTTACTCAAATGTATAATGCATTTGAATACTTCTTAATAAGTATAGTTTTTTGTACTCCACATCGGTAATATTAAATAATTACGAATAGATACTATTACAATGTTATAATTTAAGAAAGAGTTTTGAGGTTTTTTAATTTTTTATGTGTTTTCATCATAGTCGTCGACTGTGGATAAAAATGACAAGTGTATTTTTATAGATAGGTAGGTGATTTTATAAATAAACTCCACACTCTATTGTAATATTTATATTAACTCTTTAAATATAATTAATATTCAAAAAAGGGCAAGACTCTTAGTTCGGGTGCAATAAAGGAATGGGAGAATGTTACGCTATATTGGATTTTTAAACTTGAAACTAATGAATCATTGAAAAAATGATTCTGAGAGAAAGAAGGTGGTTGGATGAGTTTATATATATATATTATATTTTATATATATTTATATATTTATAAATAAGTTACATTGAACTTTTAATTTTAAACTTTTTTGAGACTTTCCAGTAATTTTTTTTTATAACAAGAAAAATGTTATGAAAATGCTGTATTTAATTTTAAAATCTTAGATATACAAATTGAAAGTTTAATACAATTTTAAGTATAAGTACCTCTGTAGCAAATGTTGGTGAATTTTATCATTTATCAAAATTTTATAGTGAAACGCTTGTATTTTTCAAATAAAACACAATTTTTTACGTTCATCAGTAAGAAATAAGTATGAGAAACTTTGTATTAACTTTTAAAAGCATTTTGTTTAAAAAAAAATAATTTTATAGACATTTTTCGAAAAAAACTTAGAAATCATGAAATTTTCTAAAATATAATTGTTAAAAAAAAATTAAAATCTATGAAATATTTTATTATCTATAGAAAACAATAATATTTTCTTTCAATGGAAAAAATCGATAAAGTTAGGTTAGGTTGTGGTAATTTTTCATTAGTTTTTTTAAATTATTAATAAAAATGTTAAAAAATTCTTATAATGACTCCCACAAACTATCGATTAGACAAAATATTCAATCAAAAATTTTGAATTACTGTGATGATCGAAACCTGTTGGTTTTAGTCGTGCATATAAACACAAAAAAATAAAAATAATATTACTACGTGCTGAATACCGATTTTGGTTGAAGATTTTACAATTATTTCTTCGTTTTTATCATTTAGTTGGAAAACTGTTGAGAAATTCATAAAATGACCTATCTTCAAAGTACTAACTAGATGCTGATTCCAGTCTTCTATGATTGTAATGATTGGAATAATCTTTCTTGATGAAATCTTGTGCAAAGACAAAAAAAAATACATCATAGTAAGAAAAATACATTCCTCATTTCATTTAAAATCTAATAAATAGTAGATGATGGAAGGGGGGACTAAAACTCAGATATGCTGGATGTATTTACGGCTTAACAAAACATGTAGTGGCCTAATTATTTTTTAGGGGGCTAAGCCCCCTATTTGTACTTAGGTATCCACTGATAGGTAAAATACTAGACATTTTAAAGAATTTTAACATAGGTAATTGTTGGCTATTAATATTTGTATGGTATATTCATAACTATAGAAGTACCAAATAGGGAAGGGCCTCCTTTTTATTATTTTACACTAGAGTTCATCTTTGGGATGAATCGTCCTTGCATACATATTTACAACTTCACAATTCTCCAAGTTTTAGTATTTGCTTGTATAATATACATATTAAAGTTAATTCTAAAATACTTTATTAAATATTATTTTCTGCAGGTATGGTTCCAAAATCGTAGAGCTAAATGGCGAAAACAAGAAAAAACCTTGGTTTCTCAACATCAAAACTCAAATGAGCAAACTATGAATTCTTGTCTAACAGGTTAGAAAATGAAATGATAAAATTTGTAAACAGATGTACTATTTAATTCTTTATTTTCTGTAAAGGTTAAAATATAAAATATTTCGAATCTATATTTAAGCATAATTTGGCAAGTATACACAAAGTAGATTCCTTTACAACTATTAGATACTCCTTAAAATACGAGTATATAACATAATTTTTTTTTTATGGTTTCCTAAATTTTCGTATTGATATTATTTTATCGTTAATCGATAATAATAGTTAGTCAATTTATATTTTCATAACTTCATCGGTGAAAATATATCTTTACAGATTATTTAGTTGGAATTTTTTAATTAATCGACCAAAGTTCGGAAATGTTAATTAAATGCTAGTGTTGAATTGAAGTTTTAATTTTTTATTATAAAAATGTACTGAAGACGAATGAAAAGTAGCGGGTATTTTTAGTATCATTTTGGTTTCGGCCTTGTTTTCAACTGGGTATTGAATAGTACACAACTACTATTTAAGCAAATACGTACCTACCTACTAGAGAGTATATTATTATATACAGAACTGGTAAAAATAAACATAATACAGTAATACATGTAGAATGAATTAAGATCTTAAAGAATTTAAGATTCTTAATATATTTAAATACCGAACAATAATTAGACAGTAAAATGTTTACTTAAATATTATAAATTACGTCGAACTTGTTTAACTCGAAATCGTTGATGTCTCTAACTTTTTCCATGATCCCTAGGATTTCCTATTTAAACAAGGTAAAAAAAAATTAGTTTAACTCAAATATTTTTGTGAAAAAGTTCCGAGTCTTATAAAATTATAAAATTATGATAGTTTCCTCTTGTACCTAATTTTATTGCGAATAGTAAAGTATATTATAATAAATTGAGGTGATTTATCGAAGACTAACCAGAGATCAGCGATGGAATTTTCTAAGCTTTGATTAAAATAGAAAAATTCACTGCAAATGCTGCGATCAACAACAAAATTAAAAAAAAAAAGCACCGAATGGGCTTCACTCTGCTGTACAGTACGGGGTGGAGTGCACCTCGTTTATAGGATAGGTCATTACAATGAATTTGTTAAATTTGAATGCAATGAAAGGTATCATTGTATACGAATAATGATTCTGAACGGAGATGATTTGTTAGTCTAGAATATAATACATTGCTATATATAAATATTGTAATAAATATATTTTCTTTTTTTAAACGAGAAATTTATTTTTAAATTAGGATGAGTTGGCAGTTGAATACGGTAGCATAGTTAAATTTTTTAAAAATCATGCATGTAGTTATTATATTATTATTATTATTATTATTATTATTATACGTTTAACTCACGAGTCACGAGGAATTAAGAACCAATTATGATTAGGTACTACGTAATATACATATATTAATAACGATTGCGATTTAAGAGCATAAAAAAAACAATAGATTCCATCAATCCGTTCAGAATCTAAAAATACACATTTGCAATTCCCATTATCAGGCAACGCTCAATTGGTTTTGGAGGGAAATTATGTTGCTTTTAAAATAATCAAACTTCACCCTTAATCAGTATATTTTTTTTAGATTATGTTTGAATTTTGATACTTTGGTATCACCCTGGCTGTATATAGTATCTCTTTTTTATGTTATCTACAGCCGTGATTATCACTAAATGGTGGTCTAAATTTAGTGTTGATCAGTGTAATCTATCAAATTCAAATTTTAAATACTAATTAAAATCTGAATTTTAAACACCGAATGTGTTAATTTTATTTAATAAATTATATTGAGGATTAGATTTGTTTTAATTTTGATATTTAATTCATCAATAATATAAAATTAATGACATTATGTCGTTATATATAGAAAGCAGTCTTCCAAAATTTTCAACTTGGATATAATTTTCGTATAAATATCCTATAAAACTATATTTAATTAACAAAAAATGAGTCAAAACGGCACTTATTATTTTATTAGGAAAAATCGAATATTTCGAATGCCTATAAGTTGCTTAAAAATCAGTATAATATTTTGAAAAAAATACGCTTAAAGAAAATGCCAAACTTAATGATTAATAAAAGTTTCGAGTTTCTGTGACTTTTACTTTTTGTATAATAACAAATATTTAAAATCGTTTGAGGATAAATCGTTATTTTATGCAATTTCGCAAAAATTTAAATTTCAAACGGTCATAAAAATTTTTCCTAAAAGTCCGGTGGACATTTTTTTAAAGTTATTAGAAGAATAACTTATTTCAAATTATCGCTATTTTGACTTAATTCATACAAATTAGAACTTTATGGGCTTATAAAAAAATGAGTGTGGAACAATTTCCAAATTTTTTTAGTATCGATAAGTATAATTTATAATAAACCGTATATTAAGTTTTCAAGAGTTTTCTTACAGCCAAATTTTTTTTATTGGTATTTCAAAAAAAAAACTTAGAAAAATCGAAAATTTAAATTGTCTATAAATAAAGCAAAATATGTCAAAGCACTTTGAAAACTTAACCATGTATAAAATATGCTAATATAAACATTTGGTAAAAATTTCAAGTGTATGTGGTTTTTTGTTTTTGAGTTAAAGCATTTTAAAAAAAATGTAGTTTGTCAATACGTGGTTTTCCGTAAAAATTCCCGTTTTATCGTAATTTTTTTATGGTTTTTTTCGATGCTTTTAAAAATTATTGAAAAAGTTTAATTTTTGACTTGTCCAAGTTCCATCTATATTCACTTTCCTTTCAGACAAGTTGCTGTTTAAGAAAATCGAAGGAATCGGTGAATAGAAAATCGGTGGATATTTTCGTTTTTAACTGTCTGAGCGAGCGCGGTGAGTGAGTGACCCCACCCGGTTTCGAAGTGCATTAAAAATCAAAAGGATTTTTATGACATTGGAAAAACATTTTAGTTTAAATTTTTTATAACGATGTTTAGGCTTAAAATTTCTCCCAACTATTTGGAGTCGATCACCCTTATCCTAAACCTCCAATCGTTTCGATTTTCTACATCCCTTATGCACATACCAACGTCCCTCATATCATTCTTAATCGTATCCAACCATCTCTTTTTTGTTCCTTCCTTGTTTTTCCTTTAACTTTAATTTTCATAGCAACTCTTACGGCATTTATTTCCTCTCGTCTCATCACATGCCCAAACCATCTCAGTCTATTTTCTTTCATCTTGTTCATTATAGACACTACATCAATATTATCTCTCACATGAAAATGCTAATTCTGATAATTCTAAACATTTTACTTACTTATTTAAATTTAAATGTATTATTAATTTAAGTATTATTTAAGTATAATTAATAAGTACGATTTACTTGTAAAAAAAATTGAAATGTATGTTTATTTAGTTAATGCTTTTAACCTATATAATTTTGATAGATAAAATATTGTTAATTTGATTCTATAAAAAATTTCAGAAAATCCAATATTTGGAAATTCGTCTAGCTTACTTCCTCAACCAGATTGGAACAATCTATGCTCTTATAATGCATTTCAATCAGCAGCGACGTTCGATAAAGATCTACAAGCAATTGATATCGACAATGATTTGCTTCGGTTTAAAACAAGAGATATGCAAGAAAATGATATGCTCATGTCACCACCTTCATAGAAAATCGTTGATAATTTTTTAAGTAAATTGTTAATTAAATAAACAATATCATAATGTTAAATTTTTATTTGTACGTTACCTATATTTAAGTTTTTCCTTAATTACCATTAATCCTTCATAAATATTTTACTACCTATGATTTGTGTAAATACGGCATAATTATATACAATTTAAAACAGTTCTACCTACTAAATATTAATGAATGAAGTTACTAAATACATACAATTCTACATATTAAAACGGGCATGGATCAATTGCGCTCCATATATACGGTCAATATATCAATTGTGCTATTCAAATTCGCCTACCTTCAGATATGAAAATATTATTAATAAAATTGATTTATTATTGTAAAAAAGTTTAAATGTGAATTATAATGTAACTGATATAACTTTCAATTTAAATTTATTTATTTATATTATTATGTATTAATAGTAGCAAAAAAAAAATCAGTGTATTATTTATTTTTATTATATTTGTAATTATAACTTAATTTTGATAATGGACGATCAAAAAGTAACTTGTTAAATGTAAAGAAAAATGAATTATTCATTTATTTATATTATGTTAAGCATTTATAATCAAACAAAAATTTGTTAATATATTTATTTAGTATATAATTATAACTAACTAATAAGTTATTGTAAAATGTTTTGAGTGCAATTGGTCAATCGACCATAAAATGTTTAGAGCGCAATTGGTTAACTCCCATTAAAACACGTCTATGAATTTATAGAATTCTGTTTAACCACTTTTTTATTTTAGCTACTTTTATATTTACTATAATTTGAATAATGTATTAGATCACAAATAAAAATATATTTACCTACACTTACATGTGTATAAATATATTGAAACAGACTATAGCAGACTATAGCAAATGTCCCACTCTAAGAAATTTTAAAAAGGTCAGCAATTTGTTGTCTGATGATCAAATGCTAAAATCAGTAAATAATAAATTTTTATTTACTATTTTGTACTCAGAAATTAGATAATATTATCTTTTAAATAACGTTCACTGTTTATTAAAAGTTGGGAAACACTGGCTCCTCCCCGGTTTATGACAATCGTTATCGAGCGAACCTTATAAACTTTATTTTTGGTATATAATATATTTCTATATATGTGATCTTTATAAAACAGTTTTCGTGATATCAATACCATACTAATTGAGCTCATAATCTATAAAAAAAACCGTTAAAATCGTTTTTATTCACTCCAAACTACGGTACATTATATTTGAGATACAATTTTATGTTTTTATAAATAAGTTCTGTAAAGTGTTAAATATACAAATAATAAAATTATAATTATTTATTAAATTAAATGTATATTATTATTCCATTAAACCTATTGATAGGTTAGGTTAGGTTAGTAACTAACTTAAAGCCTTTAGGATAAGTAAATAAACTAATGTTTTACTATCTTTAATGTTATTATTTAATTGGGTAAATTGAAACGTTTTATGTTCTTTGTTTATCATCATGACATCATTATTCATTATTAATCCGTACATGTTTTGTTCCGAAAAAATATTTTATTGATAGTCTATGGTCCATAAATATTAAATATTTAAATATATAGGTAACCATAATTTTTTAAATACAGTATTATGAAGTCGACAAAATTAATCAGTTGCCCTATCCTTTCAAAAGTTGAAATGACGCCTCTGTATTGAGGAGAATATAACTTATATTTATTATGTTTTAATACCTCATCTACTCGTTAAAAACGACCTCAACCACTGCAGTACCTAATTGTGTACTGCAATAGATAAATATTTCCTCATTTAAATTCTACTATTAATAAGTATAGTACGTTACTATGTACCTATATAATACCTATATAATTGTATAATTATTAGACAATCTTTACAGTAGGTAGTACTCCTAATTTCTAAAAAAATAACCATGAAAGCATTGAATACATAACAATGCCAATGTGTTACAATTTTATATCATATATATTACCATTTTTACATTAACATTACTTTTGATATTTTTATGGTAGTATAATGTAGTGATTTCCTAAAAGCAATATAAGGGTCCAATATAAGTTAAAAAAATTATTGTCTCTTTAAAAAGAGACAATAATTTTTTTATTAATTTTTTTTATTTTTTTATTTTTATATTTTTTTTTGTTTTGTTATTGATCTTGTTTATTATGGATGAATGGTACTGTGCGGTACTATTTGTTCATACCACATATTGTCATGGTGATTGAAATCATAACAATAAAAATATGTTATGGTACACCATGCACATAAAACTATTTATTAGTATAAAAGTAGTTACTAATGATATGCTTAACATTATATTGTGGTATAATCATTGATTTTTAGATAAAACAATAAAATGGTACAGTTAGAGTTAAGAAAAGTGTTAGCTATCTCAGCAGATGATATGAATGAACAGGATTTAGAACAGTGGTATGAGGAAGTAACTGTAAATGAATGTGATCAATTAGATTTTGAATTGAACCAACATCAATGTAAAAATATGTTCTACATTTTTCGACGATTGTTACTATATAAAGGAGAACAAGTAAGATAAACTTCAAAAACTTCATATTTATTGATTTTTGTTTGCACTCACAAAAAACAGATACTAAATGTACGTTCTTTTAAACCATTCAAAATACCTACTACTTAATTTACTACATTTAAAGGTTGATTCGTTGATGACAGAAATTGAAGATTTAGCTACTAAACAAGGTGAAGAAGAAGCAAGAAGGTTACAAAAAAAAGAAGAAATTAAAGCTCTCAATGTGGATGATTTAACTCAAAACGAACGTAATTTATAAAATAAATAAGTAATAAGTAAAAATAAGTAATAATAAGTAATAATAAGTAATTTATAAAATAATACTATCGATAATTTAAAGTATCTCAATATATTAGAATGATAGCTCAAAATTAGAATATGCAGTGCAGGAAATTAACCTTTAATTGCTTCTAGAGTGCATTGATATAAAACATTGGTCAATAATTACATTTTATGTAACTTTATTCTATTTTTATTTCCATAATATTGATATATTTATATTATTTGTGTTGTATATTTATATAAATGCATTATATATAGTAGTCTAATTATTTTAATACTTTACATTTTCTTCTTCCTAATATATACATAACTAGAGACCTAACCTAACGGCGAATAATGCGCATGAATTGTTTGGATCTCGGATAATCCATTCGTATGATAATTCATGACAGAATTTTCTTTATTTACCCATGAATTAGTTACTCTCTCGAATTTGTGGCGGTTCGGTTGTCCGTTTTGTTCGGTGTTACTATGTGTCTGTGCGGAAGATTCTCTGGCTCTTAGTATTCGATATCTATTTCTAACTTGGCTGAAGTAAGCCTTACGCTCAATAGACAATTCTTTGGCTCTCTGAACTCTATACCTTTCCCAAAGTTGGCTGAGGAGAGCTTCACGTTCCGTTGACGATTCTTCATCTCTTGCTAAACGTGCTCTATTGACATTCACAGTACTACGATCCATGTTCGATCGACGACGTCTTCCTGACATGACTTTATAATTTCTGTACAATGTAAGTACTATTTACTCAGTTCAACAAATAATAATAATAATCTAATTTTATCGTCATAGTAACACACCACGCACATAGTACAATAATACAGTGTTTAATCTCCTCTGTTTTTTTTTACAAAAAACCTTCCTCTTGAATCACTCTATCAATTAAAAAATCTGTACCGAAATCCGTTGTGTAATTTTAAAGATCTAAGCATACATAGGGACAAACGCCGGACGACTTTGTTTTATACTATTTATAGACGTATTAATTTGATATAATTTAATTAGGTAATTATTAAATTTGGCGGGCCACTAGTTGTCCACCCCTCCATTAAATAATATCTAATTTTATTGATTTCGCCGATGTGTTAAATATTTATTTATATATTTTTACTTTTTATTATTTGCTATTTGATTTTTAATATTTAGTTTAATTAATGTTATATTTACAAATTCCTTATTCATTATTTTAAAACCTTCTACCTTATATCAAGAGTTTACTTTATACATATATGTTACCGTAAATGCCCGATCACTAGGTAAACCTAGGTTTTACTAGATAATGCTAGGTTTTACTGTTTGTACTCAGTAAATGCTGAAATTCTAAATTTTATTCGGGCTTTTACTAAACACGTTGTGTACATCCTAGGATATACAAATTGACTTAGTAAAAGCTGATCAATATGCGACACATAACATTTTAGCTGCGTAAAAATTATAATTATATATTATTAAAACAAACTACCGACAGATATTTAAATTCTTTATACAAAATAAAAATCATTTAAAAACAGAATCATTATTTATTCTTCATAAAAATTAAGTAAAATTCAGTAAAATTGATGGGCAGTTAGAAATAATTATTTAAAATTTTTATTTATTTGCACATGTTGTACTATTATAACACTTGCTATTACATAATACATTTGACTGGCGGCATTTGCATTTTTTAGTTGTACATTTTTTCTGGCAATCACACCTCAAAAATCCTTGCCCACCTGATAGTGAAAGTTGAGCAACAGCTTTGCGTATGCTTTTTGTTGTATTTGTAACATCGGATATTGAAATAAATTTTTCTTCGCATAAAGTAAATTGATTTCTAGTGAATAATTGATTCAATGTCCCAGCTTTAGATCCTATTCGATAAAATTCTTCGTCAATAATTTCAACAACTACAGCCAATAATTTGAGAGAACCAATTTTACATTGGTCGAAATCTGGAATTTTCACTCGCACTGTTTGACTAATTAATGCAGCAGGAAAATTTTTATTAGATATTGTTTTCATTTTTTTTGCTTGTTTTTCCAGAGATTGTAGTGACTCTTCTCGTTGTCGTTTAATTTTAGTAGAACGTCCAAGTAATATTTTTTCATTAACTTTTTCATTTTTATCTTTCTTCGATAAAATTGTTTTTTCATCGTTGTCTATTTTTGTTTCTATATCTACCCCTTTATTTTTGTAGATCTCAATATCGATTTTTTTTTTCTTGGTTATGATCAATGTCTATGTTCTCATTGATTTTTTCAGTAGTATTCGTCTCCTCATTCTCATTAGAAATTGTAATTTTAGAGTCTTCAAGAACAAATATAAGGTCATCTTCATTAATGAGTTCTGTTATCACATTTTTCGGTATGCTCGAAGTAGCAAGTCCCATTTTCATTGTACACCCAAACATTGCCTCATGATCGTTTTATACCTAATTCAAAAAATAGTTATAATTTATAGCTATTTTATTATATTATACTTTATTTTAAAATTTATATTACAATTGTAGGATTATTTTAATACAAATAATAATTATTCAATGTTATATTATACATGGGTGTACCACGAAAATCTGTGTTTGTTCGGTTGTATATTTTTAAATTTTTTTTTGTTTTTATAATAATTACTAAGTACTACTTAATCTAAAAATGTATGATATGATTAAATTAATAAAAATAGCTTTTAAATATACAACAGAAAAAAGTTAATAATAATTATAACTAACCTGAATGAAATGCGTTATGTGTCGCGTATTGATCAGCTTTTACTAAGTCAATTTGTATATCCTAGGATGTACACAACGTGTTTAGTAAAAGCCCGAATAAAATTTAGAATTTCAGCATTTACTGAGTACAAACAGTAAAACCTAGCATTAACTAGTAAAACCTAGGTTTACCTAATCGGGCATTTACGGTAACATATATATAGTATTACTTTCCGTCTCATTATCATATAAATAAAAGTTTTACAATCTAGAGATACCTATAATTTTTTATGTGAAAAAAAATTCCTTTTTTATATTCTCCATAATGTTCAACTTCGTATACTATGCAATGTCAATTAAAATGAAAAAAAACTGTTATTGGGAAACGGACACTACAAAATGTTCCGATAAAACATTATTTTTACTGTGGTACAAAATGACTATAAAAAAAATCTAGTACAATTTCATAATTAATTTCATATCATATTGCGTTTTTATACACTCAGTGGCGTAGCCAGGGGGGTTTTGAGTGTTGTAACCTCCCATTACCCCCATTAGTTTTTATTTAATATTTTTTTTAATTATTCAATTCCCTGTATGCACGACGTCAATGATAGTTGACCGTGGTAGACAACCGATGATGAACAATTATAGAACAATAAATTACTCATTTTATGTTGTTCCTCCGTGGCTGATAACCAGAGCCGGCTCAAGGTATAAGCAAGCTAGGCACCTACCTAGAGCGGCACTTTTGTAGGAGCGGCATTTTCAAAATTAACTCGTACATTTTTTCTAATTCTATTGGAGTTTTATAAGAAAAATATTTGAATTAATTCATTCGTGAAAACCACTTATCTATATAGTAAAATAATATTGTCTAAAGTTAATATATTACTTTATATTACGGCCTACGCTGGGCGTTTTCAATTATTCCGAAAATATAAATAACCGCACAATCACTTCAGCGATTTCCGATAAAAAATAGGGAGAGGGGGTAAGTTAAAATAAGAGATCAATTTTTTTTTAAAGGCAGCGAAATTTTATTTTGCCTAGTGCATTATTTTTGTTTGGGTCGGCCCTACTAATAACGATACGTTCTTATTTGAAAAATGGTACCTACGTAACAATATAATAATGTATACATAACATAATATTGATTATTAGGCTATCAATATTCCATGTTATCAATTTAGGTATCATGTACGAAAACGATTTTTCTCTTATCATAAGTTTGTTTTTTTTAAATACCCCCGAAAAAATAATGTTGTATCCGAATCAATAGGACGTATATGTTCTTCATTAACCCATAACCGTTTGAAACTGTTATGTCCAACAAGATAGGTAGACCGACATGACTCAATAATTATTTTCCTCGAGTTATTTGATGCAATAGTTGATAGTTTATCAGAAGTTTATACTTGGCATGATAAGAATGCTTCATCAGGAGCATACCAATTGCTGTGTGCTATAAGACAACCAGAATTTATAATATTAACTTACATACTGGGATACATGTTGAGTTTCAGTTTACCATTTAGTAAGTTTCTTCAGACAAAGAATGTAGATCTGGTTGAAGCTATTCAAACCGCTGATGATGTAGTAAATATAATTAAGCAACTAAGATTAAATGATAAAAGTAAATTTAAAATTATATTTAATAATGTAAAATCTAAATTTGATGCCTTAAACATTGAAATATCTATTCCTCGTACAACTTCTAAGCAAAAAAATAGATGCAATATCCAGGTTGATTTGCTTGAGGATTATTATAAAATATTTTTATTCATTCCATTTATAGATCATTTTTTAAATCAATTAAATTATCGATTTTTATCTCATAGATCTATAGTTGAAAATGTTAACGTTATTTTACCATCATCCATTAGTATACAATATGAAGAAAAAAATTCAGCAGCTAATTGAAATGTATCAAGGCGATTTAGATTACAGTGTGTTAGCAGCTATGAGTGAAATTAAAATTTGGTAACAAAAATTTACAGGAACTAAAGATTTACCAAAAAATACTATCGACACTCCTCAAAAATGTAACATATGAATTTTCCTTTCTACTTTCAAACTTTTACAGATTTTAGCAACTCTCCCAGTTACAACTTCTAACAGTGAACGATCTTTTTCAACATTAAAATGATTGAAAACATTTTTACGAAACACCACATGTGAAAATAGGTTGAATGGTTTGGCAATGATGAATATACATAGTGATATAATGATAAACCCTGATGATGTCTTAAATAAATTAGCGATCAAACCAAGAAAACTACGGTTGATGTAAATTTGAATGTAATTAAAATATTATTTGACTTTAAATGCTTAAAATAAAGTACAAGAACATTTAAAATAATATTTTTTATGTATACCTACCTTTTGTATAGACCTAAACCGTAAACCCCTCCATTGAAAAATCTTGGCTACGTCACTGTATACACTGGTCGCCAATTGAAAACTATTTCAATTGCCTACTTGAATACATCTCATGACAATATGAAAATGATATAACAGATTCAGCAACCAAATTCTTTCCAAAAACTATTAGGGTATAGAAAATTATTGTTATATCTGTAGTCTATAAATATCATTATTAAGTATGTCAAATATTGTAATATTTAGATTTCATCTAACATAAAAATATTAAGACATGATTAATTTCTCCACTCTGTTCCTAACTAAAACTGGAAAAAAATATACTTAGTGATAATCAAGAGAATTTTGGAATAATTTGATGAAAAAAATCAGTTAAATATTTATCATAAGAGCTAAAATTTTATCTAAGATTGATTTAATTTATATAAACTTTAAAATTCTAAAACTAGAAATAGAGTTGATTCGAAAAGAGTTAACTAAATTGGAAGTAGAAAATGAACGTTTATCGTCTGATGTACAGCAACAAAAACAAGAAGTTGATTTCAAAGTTAAAGAACTCGATAAGGTCGTAAAATATTAATAACTGTAATTTTAATTAAATGTATTCACCAATTTAATATTGAAATAAAATAGATGGCAACACAGTTATCAAAAATTGAAAGTGAAAGAGATTTTCTTCGTCGAGAACTTGATGCTGTACAAAATGATATTGCTGAACGTGAACTCGACGATCAGCCGGTTGTAGATAACTTGACCATGGCTGAAAGGTTTAGAGACTTAACAGAATCAGTTAGACAAAAGAATCATCATATCACACAACTGCTTAATGACATCGAGGTAATTATTAAATTATCTTTGCAATTATTTAAATAGCAATTTAATACGAATTTATAATTTTAGGCATCCGAAAAAGATAATAAAATGTTAAGACAAATGCTAACAAATACAAGAGATGAGCTTCGAGATGCTACAGTACAACTGAACACATTAAGTGCTGAATTTGGAAATATGAAATGTTTACAAGACGAATACACGGGTATATGAATATTCTCACTTTAGTCAATATTATTGGCTCAATAATAAATTATTTGTAATTTTTATACTTATTGATGTATAAATCACAATTGTATAGATAGGATCAAAGTGTTAGAACTAAATGACAAAGGACTCCGTAGTCAAATTTCTGAGCTAGTTGCTGAAAAAGAAAAATGTGAAGAACAAATTGAAGAACTAGGTGAAGAACTCGAATCTAGAATAAAAAAGTTTACGGTATAAATACATAAGGGCTTTAGTCAAAATTCAAAAAATTAGATTATATAATAATTTTATAAAATCTTTTAGGAATTATTATCAAAAAAGAACGAAGAAATAACGAACTATAAATCACGAATTGGATCAACGGATTCAATTGAAAATCAAAACGAATATCTAGCAAATCTTCAAGAGGTATGTGATTACAGTCTCATACATTTTAAAAATATTTAAGTACAGAGTGTTGCAAAATTAGTATACTTTTTTATTTCTGTTTGAATCGACGACAAGGGGGAACAGGTTTCCCAATTCTTCCCTATTAATCGATAATTGAATGATACATTACATGTTATACAATTTACAAATAGAAATTGTATCACTTGGAGGGCACACATTTAGTAAACCATTAGTATAACTATATGAAATACATCGTTATAGAAATAAGTTATAGATACTTAAGTACCTACTTATACTACATTTCGTACAATCCAACATAATATTTATTAAAATATACAGCTACTTTTACTCAATAAAATGTTATTTTCTGAACTTTACAGTGTTTTCATTTATACATGTATATTATATACATATATAAAAATAAACTGGATGCACTCAAATACTTAATTGATGATAAAAGTGATGAAATTATCACATTTATTATAGTTAAATAACAAATAATGTTTTTAACAAAACCATAGGTGTTTTGCGCTTAAGCCGACGCAGCAAAACGCCTGCGTATTTGCCGTACGCAACTGAATATAGGTGGTCCTGAATCGCACGTCCTATTTTGGATCGATCAGGGGGATCGGGACTAATTTTCTTAATAATAATAATGAAAAAATGGAAACAATTCAACTATTATATGGTATATTATAATATAACAACAACTTGTAGTTGGGCGCCCTTACACCAGTATAATAACCATTTAATAATAAATAAAAATATTACAATATTAATAAAGTAATTATATAAAGGAAAGCACAGCTCCCAGTACCTCAATATATTTGAGTCCCACTGTATTCTATCCCACGTGACCGTGGATAACTCGACACGTGCGACGGGAACTCAAATACACGGACGATCCGCAACGGCAGGGGCAAACTGGAATGGGTTCCGAGTACCAATTCTTGGTTATTGGCAAATCACAAAAGAAAGGGTATACTAACTAAATATAGATAAAAAACACTGTTCTAAAAACACCACAACCGTACGCCAAACGCACAAGGCACACGCAGAGGTTCACACCACGGGAGTCACTCAACGACAGAAAAACGCCAATCTCGAGAACATTCTCTACGGCCCCGGTGAACAAATCAATCCGATAAGATATGAGACCGGTTCCGGGCCCGCAGAGAGGGTAAGCAGCGAGTCTCGAACAATAGGCGTGCGCACGGGGGTGGCCGGGTGGGCCACGGCCCCCCTGCGGACTCTGGCTTTTTCTTTAATAAATGTACATCTATACTCGCTGCACATGAATTGCGTCCCGAAATCCCTTTTCCACATGAATTGCGTCCCAAAGATATTTAACGACTACACGAATTGCGTCCCAACCATATTTAACAACTACCCGAATTGCGTCCCAACGTAAAAACATTATTTTCCTTCTTATTCAGACTTAGGACTGTCGATAGCAAATTACGACTATCGGTAGGTTAAAAATATTGTTTTTTTTATCATTGTTATGCAATTAAATGTAAATAAAATAAAATGTGTAGGTTAATAATATAATAGTTTAAAAAAAAATATATATATATATATATAAAAAAGTTATAATTATAAAATTAAAAAATTGGTAAAAACTTGAATGATACTTTCTTAATATAATCAAGACGGGTTAATTGGCCACTTTCATATTTTGCCATATTTTGTCTTAGTGAATTTTCTTTTTCACATACCATCATTCGTCTGTTTTTAATTACATGAATACTTCATTGTTTAATATAAGTTTTTTTTTGTACATTTTTTAAAACATCTATAAATTGAAATATATTCGGGTGTACTGAGTAAAACATACTGTTAAACTTGGAGTGGAATGCTTCCCAACTATTCGTAGTTCGAATTATAGAACATGAGTACATTACCCACACAGAAGGCGGGAAGTCACAATCAGGCTTTATGCATGTATTTAATATATAATCTGAAAATTGCTGTACTTTTTCACTTTCGAGTAAAATGGATACAATATCGTCAGTAAAACAATCCTCCACTTCATCTGGTTTTAAAAATGGGAGACCAAAAAAATATTTTAAAAAAATACTGATATCTGAATTTTTTTTGTATTCTTGACTTAAACCAACCGTTTGAATTTTCCTTCACCAACTTTGACCTAAACGAAACCTGCATCCTTTCATTTGAACTGATGGCCACACGATTAACAAAGATGAGTGGATTGCTTTTTCAAAATCGGCAAATATTATTTTAGGTAAAAAATTGATATTATTTTATAGAAACTCAAATTTGAGATGTGAAAATGCTTTTATATGAGTATCTATATTTTTATTAGGAAGTAAAAAAAATACTAGTGGTATATAATTATTATTTTTCAAGCCATGGACTGTAAAAAATTGTGTAAACAGTTTTGGGCAATTTTTAAAAGTTTCATCCACAAATATTGTATCGACTTCACATAAAAAATTTAAATTAGTAATTTTTGAAAAAATGATTATAATATATTCGTTGTCATTCACTAATAAAAAATGTTCATCTCTGTTAGTCTGAATATTTTCATTCAATAAAATATTGTGTAAGTCAGGTAAGTTATTTCGAAGTTTTGGAATTGTCGATGATCGAGCGTGGTGTATATTATTATGAATCAAGGTTAAATCATAAGTTGTCAATGTTGGAATGTCTTTTGATAAAGCTCCATGAATAAGTTTTGATGGTTTATCATAAAGTTCTTCAACAGCTTTTTGCTTTAAATTATTACTTAACTGTTTTCTATTAAATATTTCAACAGAATCTTTAATATAATTATGATTATTCATTCATGCAATCGTTTAAACAAAACCGGACGCAATTCATGCAATAGATTAGATAATGCCGGACGCAATTCGTGTACCCGCTTATCAAATTTTTTATTTCGGGACGCAATTCGTGTGTTGCCTCTATACTATACAAGATAGCGAACATTTTTACATTTTACATGAATAAAGTAAAGCCAGTTTTAATCTCATAGTGAAGAATTGATATCTGTGAATAAATGTAATAAAGTTATTAGTTATTAATCAGACTAATCAGAACTTGCATATAATATAAAAATTGAAGATGTAATTGATACATTCAAAAACCTTACTCCCGTGGACAGAAGGATGGAGTTGTAAATAGTATTATAATATGTAAATAAGGATTTCTTAGATATAAATTGTACAAGTTTAAATAGTATTTATTTTTATATTTGCATATTGAATTAAATAAATAATTTATAAAATTTAAAATATTTAATTATTCTAGTAGTCTTTAGTACAAGAATCTTTGGTCCACTTTTTCAAAGGCCCCCCTGCGGACAAAGTTTGCGCACGCCTATGAACATAACTATATAACCTACTAGAAGTTTACACAGAAATATTTATTTGATCATTATAATTGACAGTAATAAAAATTGTTAACATTGAAAGTTGTTCGTAGTTAATAAAATTAAAATTATAATGAAACAAAATTAAAAAATATCTTAGGATTTTATCAGTATTTATAATTCTATGTTTATACCATTTACCGTTTCTATACGAGTGTCATTGTTCATATTTTTAATTCCAAAAAACCCTTTTTATGACAATTTATATTGCCCTGATTAATTTTATAATTTATATATACGGAAAAAAAATGGTAATATACATAACTTAATATTTATATCTAATAAATTTAAATTTTTAGACTGTTGCTAGACAAGAAGATCAAATAATGGAATTTCAAAAACAAATTCATCAAGCAACTAATGATTTGAACCGAAGTTCAATTGCACTCGAAAGACAAAAAAAATTATACAATGAATTGTAATAATACTATTGCAAAATTATGAAATATTTTAATTAATTTAAATTTATGTTTATAGACTAATTAAAAATAAAGAATCTCCTGAATTAAAACAATTACGAAATAAATTATTCGAGACTCAAGAGCAGCTAGAATTAGGTTTAGAAAAGATTCAAAGAGCAGAAGAAGACGCTACTGAGAAATCAAAACAAGTAACATTTTATACAATTAGTTAGGTACATGATACTTATAAATGGTTTTTAGATAGTCGTTATTATTGGACAGTTATTACTTTAATTTCTTTTTAATACCTAATTGTAGAAATGTAGACAATATGTAAATAATTCTTAAACTTTAAAGATACCAATGACCCAAATAACTAATAAGTTTGTAATCTTACAGTATTTAAGTATTATATAGGTAATCTTAGTTTTTACGGGGAATTCTTAGCAAAAACAAGGATCTAATATGCTAATATTTTTGAAACTCAAGAGAATTGATTTATAAAATAAGTCAACAAATTATAATTTTTAGATAAGCAAATTAATAATACGAGTTCGTGAACTTGAATCTGGTGAATATGGTTTGGAAGAGGCAACAGAAAAAATAAGAAAATTAAGACAAGAATTAGATACACGAGATAATCAAATTAAAGATCTTATCGATTCAAGTAATCAACTTCATCAAGAAGCTGATCTTTTAGAACTTGACAATTTGGCTATGAGAGAAAAATTAGGACTATCCGTAGATGATGTTGTGAGATCAAAAGGCATGATGGCTCGACATAAAGAAGCACAGACCAAAATAACTATGCTACAGAAAGAACTTGACGAATGCAAAGAAATTATTATTAATCTCAAGTTAAAAGTAAGTATAAAAAATTATTTTATATGCAAGTCAATACTTTGTACTGAATTTAAATGTTCTTATTTAGAATCGTAGTTTAAATAAATCTACCGATTCTGATAAATACCTTCATTCAGATGAAGAAAGTGATAAAGGACAGAACCAAATTCAATCAGAAATGTCCAAATTACAAGAAATAGATATTGGTCCAGAACTTGAAGATAATGTAAAAGAATTGATTGAAGAAAATGAATCTCTTAGAAAAGGGATGCATGAAATACTTGATAGTGTACATAACCAAGATGGTAGTATACTATATATTTTAATAATCTTAAACACTTTGTTATATGGAAGCTGTACAATTAATTGTTTATTAATCACTATCTTATATAATGTTTCTATAGCATTGTTAGACAATTAAATAACTAATTTCTATTGAAAATATAAAAAAAATATGTACATTCATCTGGACATTAGGTGATTTGGATATACATATTATAAAAATATACAATTATACAATTAGATTTAATTAATTAGTTGATTAAAATTAAAAGTTACATAAAAAGCATTTTGAAGAAATTCCCAGTAGAGTAACACCTCCGAATTTTATTTACGTTGATTTACAATTCCAATTCTTCTTACACCTGAGTATCATAGTATATACTTATAGCTGCTTGACTCGTACAATAATTTTGTAAAATTTCTGAATTCTAGGATCAAGTGTCGTTCGAATTGAATGTAAAAGTTTGGAGAAACTATTAGAAGCTATGGATGCTAGACATGTAGCTGGATGGTATCAACCTGGTATGCGATTATTAGCACGGATTAATAATTTGGAGGGTGTAAACTCAAACTTAAGGCATCAACTTCATTCTCTACAGTAATTTTGATCAATTTCTTTTGATTGAATACTTGATTAATTTCTACAAAATTATCATTACTTTACTTATACAGTGATGTACTGACTGAAATCAAACAAGAACTTTTCAATACACAGAATGAAGTAAAACTTAAAAAATGTAATACAACTGAAGAAGTAAAAGAAGATGAACTTTCAGAGAATCTTAAAGAAGTAAATTGTAATAATAATTACTGAAATGTTTTATTTCTAAAAATTGTGTGTATAGTTACAGAATGAGCGAAACAAATCTCTTAAACTAGAAGAAGAAGTAAAATTATTTCAAAATAAATTTCAAAATTTGCGAGATGAAATGAAACTAGTAAATGATGAATATGATAATGAAAAATGTAGAATAAAATCGCTAGTCGATAAATTAGAACTAGAACTGAAAGCAGTAAGTAATAATGAAAACGACTTAAAAGAACGTTACACTGAATTAGAAAAATCATGGAAAGCATTACTCGAAGATCCTGATCAGATTAAACGTCAGCTTTCCTATAATGTCATTAAGTAAAATATTTATTTCTAACACGTGTAAATGTACTACTATCTATATTAATCAATTTTACAACTAGAGTTACAGGTTTGATGGAGGAATTACAAGTGTGTAAACGAATGTATCAATGTTGTCTTGAAACTGAACAACTTTTAAAGAAAGAAAAGCAAAAGGCTGTGGAAGACATTTGGGCCATTAAAACAGCAAATAGCAATGAAATTGAGAAATTATTAGAAATTCAAGTACATTTAAACAATTTAATATTAGATTTATATTTAAAATCAACATCAATCACTATTTCATTTTATTTACTGGTTATTATGATTCCCAGGAACATCAAAAGAATGAATTAAATAAGTTAAATGACCAAATGAAAAATGTTGTTGATATTAATGAACATAAGCAATTAAAAAATGATTTTGAAATTCTAACTGCTAAACATAGAGAAACATTACACTTGGTTCTGTTCAAGGTATTTATTAAAAATATATATTTTTTATTAGATCTTTTTAAATCGGTATGTCTTTATTTTTATTTTTTATTATACTTTTATTTAGAAAAATCAACAATCTGTTACATATAATAGCTCATAATAGCGTCATAACAGCGTTTTAGCGTATTTTAGTTAAATATATTATTAATTATAAAATAAAATATGATTACTGATTATTAAGTATAGTTACAATTGGAGAAAGTCCCTGGGCCATTATCATTTTAGCATTTGGGGAAGATTCAGGAGTAATGAGTAGAAGCAGAAGCTAGAAATGAAGAAGTTGGTATGTTGAAGAAGGCGATAGTGAGATTTATTGTTGTGTTGTTTAGTTATGTCATTCTTAAATGGGATTTTTGGATCATTATGAAGTGTGATATTTGTTATGAACGGAGGAGTATAAGTAATGAAGAATGAAGCGGAGTACTTTCTATTGGAATATTTGAATTTTATTTGTATTAGATATTTTAGCAGAGTCCCAAAGCCGGAGCCGGATGCCGGAAGTTTAAATAAATTTTAATATGCGATTATAAACAGAGATTTTCGTTTTTATGTTGAGTTTGGATAATTTATTAATGATATTTTAAATAGAGCGAATTTATGATTGAATGTAGTTTTTGTTTTTTTAAGTGTTTAGATCCGTTTAGTTTTTCGTCAAATAATAATCTTAGGGTTTTTACTGTATCTGAAAAGGTTATTTGTTTATTGTTGAGGAAAATTGGAGAACATAAGCCTTTTCTATGTGTAAATACTCTGTGGATAGATTTTGATTCCTTAATTTTTACCCGTTGGTTTAAGGGCTAGTTAATTGATAGAGTCTAAAGTGAATTATAAAGTGAAGGGGAGAGGACAACTCCTTGTAGCAAGCAACACTCACAAGTATTGGTGAGATGGTGAAGAGTTCTGATCCGGATCTAATCTAAGTAATGTTCACTTAGATTTCAAAGAACGGTAAGATGAAGGAGGTAAAAGTTTTTTTTTAATTTATATAGTAGGCCCAGATTACAGAACTTTATCGAAGGCCTGCAAGACGTCCAAAAAAATAGCTGCAGTGTATAACTTTTTTTCGATTGAGGATGAGATAGTGTCCGCAAATCTATTAATTTGGTGAATGATTGAATGTTTTACATGAAAACCGAACCGATCGCAGTTATTTGATTAGAGTAGCTATTTTAAAACGTGTGCTATTTTTGTTCTATAACATGATTAAATTTATTCAGTGATTAAATCAAGCTGTTCTGAAATTCTGTCATTTTTACATTCTAAACCTACGTAATAGTACAACTCATATTTAAGTAATAACAAATAGATTATGAACATAATTAATTCACATTTTAGTAGCTATATGATAAAAACAAAATTAAAATATATTTAGCTAAACATTATATTTAAAACTTAAAAATCCTTTAAAAATACCAATTCTTAGGAACTTCTATCAGTCATAATTGAGTAGATACCTATTAACAGTTACAAAATCATCATAATTAAAATACAGTTTAATATATGATATAAACAAAATAAAATTGATTTCAACATTATGGTATTTAAAACTTAACAATATAACAATTAAAAGTATAAATTCATAATAGTAACATTTTTCAGTTAAATTTAACAATTAGATAACCTAGGGATAACCATTTCAGTACCCACATATGGATGAAAAATTAAGTTAAGTATGTCATAATATTTAAACAATAAATAGCTTAAATAAAAAATAAAATAATAAACAATAAAAATGAGAAATTGGAACTTTTAAATTCATCTATTGCCTTGTTTATTGTGTCATAGGACCATGAATTTTCTATTTTTCTTTTGTAGTTTCTCACCATTGTAATCCTGATAAATTAATTGTTCTAAAAATCGTATACTTTTATTTAATGTACAGATGTAAATTAACGACATCGTCAACTTACCCGTGTCATCATGCCCCACACATTTTTTTTAAACATTTTAATTATTTATCATAACATGCAATTTATCATAGTTATCATAAATATATTCAAAATATAGGTAACTAGATGAATTACCCGTCGTTGCCGGGTTTAAGTATATAAATGTATGTAACGTGCCAAGATTAAATTTTGTTAAATCTATTGAAATTTAAATTAATTAAGATTTTTGAAATAATATTTTATACATATTAATTTATTGTTATATACTGTTGAATACATATAGCATCTCACTTCTCCGAATATTTTACCTTTTGTCAATAAGTTCATGGTCTTTTTGACTTTTAACCGAAACACTCTTGCAATTATATCATGTCGATCATATGATCTTTGACCGGGAAGTAAGAGCTCTTTTATCTCGTCCCAGCGAGGATTACATGTAAAAGTAATAAAAAGGTCAGGACGACCGTAATGTCTAACGTAGGTCATAGCATTTTGTGTTCTTTCGTGCATGTACCTTGGTCCACCAGTAAAAGTTGACGGGAGAATAACCATTTGGCCTAACTGATTAGCTTCTATGTCTCGTCGTCCAATCGCATCTTTTAAATCAATATAACTATCTGCACGTAATTTGGCTTGGTTGTTTTTGATGTAATTTAGTCTTTCAGTTTCAATTTTGGCGTATTCATTTACCAAATATTGACTGAAAAGAGAACGATAATTAACTAAATAGTGGTCTTCTCCTTATCTGACCATTATTCTATATTAGTGAAAACTTGATGCAGAGACAGTTTTTTTAAGCGGTAACTTGGTTTTTGGATCGCGTTGTGGTATATTGATTACATACCCATCATCCCTCCCCCCAACAAAACATTAAAGGATACTGCAGTGCGTCGTATGCTCGATGTATCTCACTGATACGGTGAAGCGAGTTACTTCGGTTTTCGAGGATGATGTCTCTTCGATCAAACTGCTGATCTACTAACACTAAAGCAACTTCATTTGCCGTTGGTGCATTATACCTGCCTCTATGTTCTTCTGGTGGTTTTTTATCTGCATGTATTACAACTTTAAATGACTCTGAAGGAGGTATTTTATCGATGGTAAATTGTAATGATCAATTGTAAATTATGCGGTGGCATGCCTAGTAAATCCAATGAGTTTAAAAACTCTGTTGGATAATTTACAACTTCAGTAGCATCGCAAACTGTAACTAAATTTGTATGACACCAAGTTTTCTGGTAACAAATTTTGTATCTTGAGATTCAATTCGTTGACCTCCACATTTTTTGCTACTAAAATTGCTCTTTCTGCCAGCCACTCGTGATTTGTGTATTGTCTGTGTATACTGGGACATATCTGGTCAATGAGAGCATCTTCCGAATAAATGATTGTGCAGAAATCGTTCGGTAATTTTATACATCCCGTTTCATCTGTAGTAACTTTTCCCATCTCCAATATCTAACAATTGTTTTGAGAATCTTTTGCACGCAGCTTTTTTTGATTGAATCGAAATCGAAGTATCGAAATCGTTCGCTATCTATCTTTATATATATTTCGACCATGAATTGTTGACAAAGCTTATGCATCGTAAAATAACTTAGTCCTGATCGCGTCTAATCATCAACCGTTATGCATAATAATTTTTTGAACTATCATTCTTATTTGTTTTGGCACCTGTTGCGGGATCTTTTTGTTTAATATTTATGCAATACCCGTCATTTACTACCAAAAATAAAATGAATAGTTTTTAAATAGTTTTTAATAGTTTTTTAATAGTTTTATTTAATATTATCGACCTGGTCAAAAAATATTAAATCGATTTCAACCCTTTAAATTCAAAATTTCGAAAAATTCTTTCCTAGCGCACGTCTACATCATAATAGCTATCTGTATGCCAAATTTCAGCCAGATCCGTCCAATGGTTTGAGCTGTGCGTTGATAGTAGTCAATCAGCTTACTGTTTTATATATACAGATTTTCATTAGATAATTTTGTTTTCTGGTAGTTTTTGACTCTTTTTAAAACTGAGAAGGATCTCTCTCCGCTAGCATTTAAACATGGTATAAATATAAAAAGTTTTAAAGCTATTTCTACAATAGAAAATGAATTGTTTAACTTTGATACTATTAATAATTGAAGAAAACTGTGTATAGATAATTTTCCATCTTCTGAAAAATACTTCATTATTATTTTATAATCTCATTCTCAAGTTTCGGTTGTAAATACTATAAATATTTACTAATTGCTTTGATTTTTCTCGTAAAATGTCATCGTCAATTCCTTCCACATTAAAAAAAAAAAAATACCCAAACAACTCATTTATTTTAATATATGTATTTGTATGCACTATCCACTCATAATGATTGAAAATAAAATATTGGGCACGTTTGTTTTCCAGTCAATCGTGATTTGTGAATCGAACTCGACAACGACAACTATGACCACGAGACTCGAGAGGGGGAGATATAACAAAAACAATTGCTTGGCAGCTTGTAAATAAATTATTTGAAACTATTAATATCAAATTTAATAATCGGATGGTTGTAAATTATAATACACACATAGAGATATATAAGAAATACAATCAACACAATATTATGTCAGTGTAACGAAAATAAAAATGTATAGGTCCGAGCGCTAAATAATAATAATATGGTTTTACCCTTAATATGCTGAACACCCACAGACGAAATAACTCAGCGGTTTAATATAAAATAATATAACTATTATAATTATAATATATATATTTTATATTATAATACTATATAATTGTTATTAATATTTTTCAATAATAAATTAATAATTTTTCCTAAAAACTAGTATATACTCGTACATTAGAAAATTTCAAAACTTTTGTTGATGCCATCAAAAAATTGTCGCCCCTAAAATTTTGCCGCCCGTGGTAGCTGCCCCCTTATCCCCCTTAACCCGACACTGAATGTTGTCATTCGTATCGAAACCAAAATTGATCGGCCAAGTTGTTTAAAAAAATCAATTTTGAGGCCGATTTTCTACATAACCGGTTTCATTTATTTATTTTTGAGAAACATTTTAGTTTATTTCTATAATTAGGTATTATAGAAATACAATGCTATTGTATTATTTTTTTAGTGATAAGACTATATTATTATGAATTAAGATCATGATACAGTCATCCTGACTTGTTTTATTAACAAAGTTAATATTAAATTATAATTATACGTTTATCTATATTTTATTGTTTGCAAATGAAAAATTTTAAAAATATTTTGTGTAATATCCTTGAACATCGGAGATAAAGTGAACATCGAAATTAAAACATCGGTAAACGTGACACATCGATGAAAACTTCAACATCAATATTGAAAATTTTTAGCTTAAAACATCGATGTTTCCAAAACATTGATGTTTTTTTTTATATTCCTAGACACAACCCTGGTTATCACTTATAAATATTGTTGAGGGGAAAATAACTTATAAAAAAAAATAATAGTTTTTTTTTTGTTAACAATTTAATATAACGTATCCGACCCAGTGACAAATACATATAGTGTAAAATATTTGTTTTTACCCGGTAGCAACATACTAAGGGGTAACATTGCACCTTAGCACCCCCCTCTAGATCCGCGCCTGACGCGACCCCCAAGTTGAAATCCAGTGGTTTAATTAAAATCGTGGTTATCGCGACTTGTTCACGACTGTGCCACGCTGTACTGTCGCACTGATTATCAACAATTGTAAAGCCGCATTTACATGGTTCACTTTTGATAATTATTTTGGATGAATCATCCAAAGTGAATAAATAATGAACAATGTAAACATTAAATCATCAAAAGTAATCATCCTCGTTGAACGATGAACGAAGTTCGATCGAGTCCTACTTTCCTTCCTTTTGAGGTAATCATCCACATTGAATCATCAAAAGTGAATTATGTAAACACTACTTTCATCTTCAATATCAGTAAATGTTAAAATATATGTTTTTATTTTTGATAAGAGAATCGCAGTAATTAGTTATCAGTTTATCACAACACTTTCAATACATAATAATTATTTATTAATAGTCGTAACCGTTGCAATTGTTTTAATAAGACGTGTAAACCATTTTTTATTAAGTACATGGGTTTTAAATGGAAAGATGACCATACTCCATTAATACTTAGTTTAATGGGAGATCGCCAATATCTGTGGAATACAAAAGTACCAGAATATTAGAATAAAGTATGTATAATTTGTTTTTATTTTACAATGAAAATAATTTCATGCCTATGGTTTGTGTAAAAATTTGATTAGGACAGAGCTAAATTTTGATGGATTGACAGTAGATGACTTAAAGTAGCTACATTAACAAAACTAACTAACTAACTAACTATTTACTTAAATAAAAAAATAATAATAATAGAAAATAACTATTATCATTGGTATCTATAACAATTAATGATAATAATAAATAATTAATAATGATAGTACCATTCAATAATAAAGTATGTGATTATCTAAAATGAAGCATGTAAACGCGGCTTTAATGAAATATCTATTTTAGTCATTGTGCGTCGCATTTATAAGAAATCATCATAAATCTTATCATTAATTATAATTTATAAGTAATTTTTGTGTAAACGCTATTACGCAAATAAAAAAAAAACTATTTGTAACTAATTTGTATAACTCAATTATTTGTTAAATATTTATAACAATGTATGACTTGAAACTTAGCTTACTCTACCATGTGAATGTTGTGACTACCAAAATGTTGGGGCTTGGAGCAAAATAGTCCCAATGCCCCTCCCCCTCGACGATACAGGGTATCGGCTATAAAATTGATATTTAATCTATATATATATTTATATAATTGAACAATGATATTTACTGGAATTCGCCCGAAGTAAAACAACAGGGTTTAAAAATTTTGGTGTGAAGAGATTTTTTGGAAGATTCTTTTTTTCTGGTTATTTAGGTTCTACATACTTGTGCGTACGATGAGTTTCAAAAATAATTAGTACAATTTCTGCGGGAGCGTGAATAATAGTTGTTGATAATATTTATCAAGCGTATATAAATCGGTAGATTAAGTTTATATTAATATATGCATAAAATAAGAAAAATCATTTTTAATTATAGGAAGATACATTAAAACTAGCAATAGAAAGATTAATGACCGAAGTAACTATTTTAAAAGATCAAAGACAAAATGTTGTAATTGAAGTTGCCACATTTTATGAAACTGATGATGAATTAACATCCTTGAAGGCAGAGAATGTTATTTATAAACAAAGAACAGAACATTCTGAAAAGATGTACTCGCTTTTAAAAGGTAATTTATGTATACTATTTTACAAAATAAAATTCTATCAAATTGCTTACATCTTTAAGATCAAATGGAAGAAATGGAATCTAGATGTAAAAGTCTTGAGCAAAATCTGAGTAATATGCTAGAAGTAAATTTACAATGTCAGACTGAGGAAGTGCGTTTACGTGAAAGAACAGTGAATATGATAGATGAATCAGAGTATGCACAGATGGCTGATAAATTAAAAGATGCTCAAAATAATTTAGTAAGTAATAATTTAAAATAACACGTTACATGGTAAATTGTTCACTAAATTATTATGAATTTGGTATGGAAATTACTAACATTATTTAACATTATCTAATATCAATCGGAAAATATTAATTATTGTTTCAATGTATACGAATTTATTGTTATTTATAATTTATTCAACATATTTAATACACAAAGTGTATCTTTATAATGTTAGGAAGAAGCTGTTAATGAACGAACTAGATTATTAAGAATATTAGAGATAACTCAAAATCAAGTACGTGATCTTGAACAACATCACAAACGACTAAATCATCAGCATGATGTAATGCAAAGACGTGTCATCGAGTTACAAGCTTTAAGTGACGAAAAGTCAACGATTGGTTAGATAAGCTGTTATTCAACTTGTATTTTAACTCATAACTGTTAGAGGGTTTTCACACTCATCGATATTATCGATTTTTGTATTGGTATCGTTGTCGGTAGAAGTAAAATAGTGTGGTTTTAAATGGATGGTTTTCACATTGACACAGATCTGATAAAAATATCGTTTTAGTGTAACGATATCATCGTGCATGTCGGACAGACGACCAGTATCGGATGATATTTTTATCGTTCCGATTTCAATGAATAATACAAAGAGATGGTTGGTTATCACCAAGGTTAGGATTTTATAGCACTTAAAATTGCATAAATATGCGCTATAATATTACCTTAAAAATCGCTAAATAAGCTCTAAAAATATGCAATAAAAACATCAAAATATGAAAAAAAAAAAGGAAATTTATTATTTAACAATTTTGTACGAGCACACGAGACGATTGTGGGCTAAAGATGTTAAGTTCGTGAACGAATAGTTCATTTGAACTATTCACTTTGATAAACTATTCTGAACTGTTTCAGTACCTGTAACTTAACAGTTCACAGTTCGAAAAAACTTGGTAGCATTGTAGAAATTAAATAGTTCGTAAACTTCTTTAAAAATTCTCTGTGGTTCGTTGTTCGAATTCCGGTAAATTTAAACAGCTGTTTACAATTAGATAACCAATACTTAATTGCCCATAAGTAGTATGAACTACTACTAACCTGTGTACTGCTCTACTAATAGTGATAAAACGAAAAGTTTGTTTCCAAACAATATCAGTATGATCAATAAAATTAGTGAACTAGGTGAACTTAAGAATAGTTAATTTGAATGAACTGTGAACTAATGAACTATTCACAAAAATGAACTAAACTTTCCATCTCTAATATGGACTGTATAATACGAATTCTACACTCGTTCGTTGATAATCAACTATTAGTAGATTTAGTAAAAATCGACAAAAAAAACCCAACAAAATCAGCAGGTAACAAAAATTAGAACCAAATAACTAACACGAAATTATCATAATATTAAATTATACCTACCTATATATTAACGCTGTAATTTTACAGCGTTGTATCAACGAGATCGGTTTATTTACTTAATCTATACATTTATAATTTAAATGAAAATTTAATTTAAAATTTTGAATCTTGAAAATTCGATCGACAAAAATCAAAAAACACGTTTACCAAAATACAATTTCATGAAAAATGCCCGATTTTGATTAAAACAGAGGTAAAATTCAAAAAAGGCTCAAAAAATCCAAAAAAAAATCACTAAAAACTAAAAAATGCAAAATATGCAAAAACAAAGCAAAATAAAATTTTTTATTTGAGTTCTCTGTATCATGAAACACATTTTTAGCTTACTCTGCTATATTTTAAGCATTTTATAAGAAATATGCAAATGCTATAAAATCCCAATCCTGGTTATCACACATGACCGATAATATTGTTCCGAAATGGTTTTGTCAATTTTCAATTAGTTTGTTCATTATTTTGATGGTAAACATAAACACGGATTTCATGGTTCATACAAATATAATTATTCCACAATTTGATCAATTGATAATTATAATTTTTTTAATAATATTATCATTAAAATTAGTTTTTCCTATGATATTCCAACTTAATTGAATTGGTGGAATCTAATGATTTCTAATAATTTGTTAAAATTTGTAGAAAATGCACCTTCCATGAATCTAATTTCTAACATAGGATGAACCCAATACCTCTTTGTTGAGGATTGTTAATTCAAATTAAATTTTTTTTCGAAAACGTAAATGCGAGCAACAAGCTGTGCTAACCTTTTTTTTATTGTTATTAATTTTAAGTAATTAAAAAGGATTCTCATTCAAGTTAGGTTATAGGAACTTCAAACTAGTATTTTACAAAATAACGTACACGTACGAACTGAGTACGAAAATCTGCAATTAGGTCATATCGTTCCCCATCACCGACAATAATATCAGTCGTAATATAGAAGCAATATCAGAACCATATTTTAAGACATTTTTACTAGGTGACACTTCAACAAAATTGTCTACCAGAGGAACAAATAAGAAAAATCAACTCCAGTCATGACAGTCGTGTTGGTTAGGGGTACTATCATTCACCACTGGGTAGCATTCAGTTATCACGGGGCACTAATGCCACGTATTTTTTATGTAAAATAATGCTCTGTATAATGCAATATTCGATATCGTTCAACACCACCGACGATAATATCTGTCGATAATATCAATGAGTATGAATACATTCTTACAATTGTATATATCCGTAGACAAATTAATGCGTGAGATTGCCAACCACGAAGCCGTTCAGATGACATCTGCTGTTGAAGAGACAAAACTTAAAACTATAATTCAAGACCAACAAACCGTAATTGCAGGTTTAGAATGTAAAAATGACAGAATTTCAGAACAGCATGATTTAATCACTGAACGTTATAGAACAAAAATAGCGTAAGATAAAAGTATTTTAAATCCTATATACTATACATTAATTTTTTTAGGTTCCAAATGGAGCAAAGGATTTTATGGTTTTATTTCTTTTATTATTTTTTATTTTTACACTGTAGCATTTCTCAAAATCGTTATACTAAAGAAATTAGTTATTGTTTCATTCAAACTCAATACATCCATTATCATTATCCAGTCCGAGAACCAAAGGGACAAAGATTGAACTTCTACCACCATTATCCTACCGTTTTTTATTTTTATTTGTTTATTTTTATATAATAGTTTTGTTTTTCCGCAAAATAATCGCTCTCTTATAAAATAATCCTAAAATCCTAATCAATGATATAACTGTTAAAATATTAGTAAAGCAATTTCATATACTTTTATAAAGCGAAATATCTATAAAAAAAATGTTTAAATAAGAATTTTTGCTTTTAGCTTTAAAGATAATTTTCAAAGAGTAATTTTTAGGATATGCAGGAAGACTCTTGCATCCCCTGAATATTATTTTATTTGTTTAAAATTCAGTAGTCCAGTTAAATTGAACAAAAAATTGGCAAAGTTCGGAACTAATTCCTCGAAAGCTGAATTTTGGCATACAAATATTTTATACCTTACTAATAAACATACTAAAAGTTCTGATATCTACCCCTTATGCATAGTCCACCGACTCTTTTGAAAGGGACGCGCACTTCTTTCACTAATTTCGTTTATAACTCGTCAACTGTTAAAGTTACAATAAAAATACTTATGACTTATGAGAATAAATAAATTTTTAATATCAATTAGTTGCGTTAGGTATTATTATAGTAAATATTATATGTTTAAAAAAAAAAGATTTTATATTTTTAATTTTTTACATTTTTTTTTAAGCAAAATCTTTATTAAACATAAATATTATGTGTTATATATTTTAGCTTACATTTTTTATCGTGTGTTATAATTATAACATAGCAGACAAATTTTTGCAGAGGATTTGTCGCAGGACCATGATAATTTTATATTGTGTTTTACAGTCGATTGGAAAAAATCATTTTTGAACTACAAAGACGCTATCATGGAACAATACCATTAGTAACTGAACAGATTTGGGTTCAACACAAACAAAAACTTGAAGAAGCGTTTACAATTACTTATAGGAAGTGGCTTTATGACCATGAGCCAAGCAATGTCAATGAAATAGTGTTTATTCCAACAAAAACATCTGAAGATTATCGTTCAAAATATACACAATTAAAATTAAAGGTAGATAAACAACATTAAATGTATAACTTTATATTTACATAGGTAATAAAAGTTAATTTATAATTTTAGCAACTTAAAGTAAAATTAACTTGTGATGATTTATACAAGAAAAACCAACTTTTTTTGGAATGTATTGAAAAACAAAACTGTTTTATCGAAAGCCTTGAAAAAGAAATTATGCGAATGGACTCTGATTGTATGAGTAATTATTTATCATGGGGAATTCAAGACTTTTGTATAGATACAAAACAACAAACAAAAAAACTTGATAAACAGATTAGTGTACAGTCTGAAAATAGTTTTAAATATTTTGAAGGAAAGTTGGAAGACCTTAATAAGCAATTAGAAATGGTAAGCAAGATTTTTATTCATTAAATATTTAAATATCTAATAAACTTAATTCATGTCACAAAGGCAAATAACAATATTCTAATTGAAAAAGAAAATAATAATTCTGCGATTCAAAAACTACAAATGACATTGAAAGAATTAGAAAATACAAAAGCTCGTTTAGAAAAAGAAATAATTGAAAAAGATGATCATATAAGAAAGTTGGCCATTGAATTAGCAGCTAATAATGTATCTGAAACAAATTCACAAAACCCTGCTTTATTGGCTACAATAGAAAGTTTAGAAACGATTATTAATCAGAAAGAAGAAACCATAAATAGACTTCAGGAGTTATTAAAAGAAAGTCGAGAAGATCATACTAAGGAGATAATTGAATTGCAAAAAAAAACCGAAGCACAACATTTTGATAATAAAGAGAAGTATGTTTTATTTTATAATATACAAAGGTGATAGATAATAAAATCAGTTGTATTTTATTAATAAAATATAATATTCATGCATAAATGCATGTATCAATGTTTTTATCATTTTTAATTTATTATATTATTATTATATTATGTTTTGTATTACATACTATGCTATATTTTTTTATGCAATGTTATTTTATTCCATTTAATCCAATTATGTCATATGAAAATAATAATATTTTATTAATTAATCTATTATGAATAGGCTTAGGGACTTCTAGCATTTGCATATTTTTTTTTAATTATTGTTAAATATAGCAGAGTGCGAAATAAATTTGTCCTCGGTGCCATGATATCAAATCTAAAATTTGTATGTGCATATTTTTGCATATTTGATAGATTATGCAGGATAGTGCATATTTTAAAATTATTATGCTTATTTTGCATATTTTGACAAATTTTTCTAATTTAAAATTAAAAACTATAGATACATATAACTATATATAAATATATTTCAACCTATCGAAAAAAAATTTACTAAGGGCCATTTTATCAATCATCAGTTAAATAGTAGATTAACTAATCTTTGTTTTAAATTAACTGAAGATTAAAATAATTTCAATTTTATCAATTATTTATTTATCAATCAAATTTAATCGTGGTTGATTTTTATAATCTGAAGATTTACTATTAATAAAAGTAAGCTATGGCACTATTATAAACATGTTGTTACCTTCATATTAATAAAAAGTTTGGTTTTAAACAAAAATGTGCTATTATCTATGATAATAAGAACTTAAACTAAGTTTAAGTACTTTAACTGATCAAAATATCTCGGTTAACTTAATCTGTGGTTGAAGTCTAGTTAAAAATTAACCAATTGATAATAAAATCATATTTTTAATTTAAATGAAGTTTAAACTTTAAACCGAATTAAAATTGTCTTAACTGATGGTTGATAAAATGGCCCTAAGAGTATTTAATACTTCCAGTAATATGCTATCTGCAAACTACCTCTCATATCTTGTTATAATTTTAGTGCAAGTATAAATAATACTATACCTATTTTTATATCGACCGTATAACCCGCTGGATATCAATTAAGATAATAATCGATAAAGAATAATAGATTATTTGTTTAGTGTTCAGTTCAGTCGATTATTATCCATCGTTGTTTTTGCGTCACGCAACCACAGAACGTCGAATCATACGTAAAACGTCGTACGCGTATATTTTGTAACATTGTTTAATGCCAAAAGTACAACAGTCTACGAGTAGCCGAATACAAAGCTTTATTTCGGAATTTAAAGAAACATTTAAATCCGATGGACACTTTTTATTTTGTGTATTATGTGGTCATTTTTTTTTTTTTTTTAATGCATATAAATGCATATTATAATGCTTATTTTAATGATTTTAAAAGCATATTTGCACGCATATTTGTGTATTTTTTATAGCTATAAGTCTTATTATGAGTAAACTATTTCTGTTATTGTATCCCAGTGTCAAAGAAATCATATTAACGACTTTCTTTTTATACTAAAATAATCAATTATAATTTATGAAATTTAGATAATTATTTTTAGATTTTTAATTTTTCTTTTATACAGAAAACATTAGGTCAGGCGCGTATACAAAGGGGAGGGAATTCCTCCCTTATACTTTAAGTAGAACCATATCGGACGTATGTACTTAAAATATTTAAAAATTTAGACGTAAGAAAAAGACTGTACAAATCAACATGCGTAACGAATTATGGCAGTAACTCACTTTAGTAGCTTCCCCCCTTTTTTTATTTCTAGATCCACGCCTACATTAGATAACTTAATTTAAAAATAATTATTTCATTATAATTAATTAATAAATTACATTATATATTTATTCAAATATACGATACATTAAATAGTAAAATACATTTTTTTTTTTTGTTCTATAAAATATAAAATATATTAGATTGTATAAAATATTTATCCTACACAAACTTATCCGTATAATTATTTTCTACTTTTACAGACCGTCAAAAGATATTTCATCTCCTGTTCACTCCATCAACATTAAATCAGTTGTAAATCAGTACATGTTGCGGATAACTGATCTGGAAGATAGACTTAAGCAATCTGAGGATGAATTAAATCAAGCAAATTCTGAAAAAGAGCACTGGAGTGGTGTAGCTGAAAGAAGACTTAAAGAAATGGAGCAAATGAAATCTGAAGATGACTCAAAAGAAAAAGATGCAGAAATTATTAGACTTAATGAAATAATAATTGGATTACAAAACAGAAAAGATACATTGCCAGTTCAAAGAGATCGATTAAGAGTAGAAATAGATAAAATGAAAAAGAAATTGAATGAATATGAAAGACGTGAAAAGGAAGACAAAATCGAAATACAAAAGTTAAGACAACAAATAATTTACCGGTATTAATATTTTTGAATAAATATTATTTTTTCGACTAAAATATTTATATACATTTTTATCTTAAGGCCCTCCACTGGAGGAAAACGAGACGAGACTGTATCAGTAGTTAAAGAAGAAGGACTGATAAAAAAAATTAAAACATTAGAATTACAACTTGATGAATATAAAAAAAAAGAAGAACAAAACAAGATGTTACGAAAATTAAAGGTTTACATATTAATGATTTTATTATGAAAATTATTAGGCACTATATCTTTTAATGTTGTATTTTTAGTCAGATGAACAAGTTGGTAAGTGGGAAGTTAATAAACGGCGTCAAGTATCATATGAAAAACTACAAAATCAATTATTAGAAATGACTAGAGAATGTGATTCATTTCGTTTAACTAACCAGAGACTAAGAGATAATTTAACTCGAATAGAAAAAGATAGAAATGCTCTGGAACTAAAACTTAAATCAGCTAATGGTAAATGAATAACTTGATATGATATTTATAATAATACATCATTTTGAATAAACTATTGTTAGCTGCGGCAAAATCGTGTGCATTGGAAAATAGTTTAGTCGATCAACTAACTTTAGAAAAAGATAGACTGTCTCATGAATTGTATACCCTGCGTACTGCTAAAGAAATGATGGCGGGTGGTTCATCACTAGCCGAAGTTGTTATCGAACTTCGTCGCAAAATTTCAACATTGGAGTTATTGCAGAAAGTAAGAAATTATACTAAGTCGTAAATAAAATTAATACATTTAAATAAATATAATTAATCGATATAAAATAATTTAGGGTGGAAACAATGCTTTAATTAAGGAAGTGGAAATGCTAAAAGATAGTAAAAGTAGATTAATGAAAACTAAAGCTGTTCTTGAAGAAGAAAATAATAGGCTAAAAAAATTAGTTGACCGATTGCATTCAACAGATAATTTGTATGGTTTTAAAATAATAATTTATTATTTAACGGAATAGTATTGATAATAATGAAAAAGTAATTTTAGGAGTGGTGTATCCAGTTTAAGTTCAGATAGCGATTATCCTGATACGGATAAGAAGCGTACAAAAAAATTAGAACGCTTAGTGATTATGTTAAGAACTGCTGTAGATAAACTAAAAGAAGAAAATAAAAACTTATCTCTTGAACGTGTAGTTACTAATACTGATGACAATGTAAGTGTTTAGATTCATAATAATTTAATTAATTGTTTATCTGATATAATATATATTATTTTATTAGTTATTATTAGGCCTGGGATTTATATATATAGTATGTAATAAAAATCGCTATATACTCGTATGTGATAAAAGAAATGAAAATATGGTGTATTAAAAATCATTACAGAAAAAAAAATTTAAATAGCTTTGCAAATGACAAATAATGACTTCAACAGAGGTAATGGGTGCAAATTTCATACATGGGATATCTAAATGAGCTTAGTCGGCAATATTACCTTATTTATTCCGCAATGGATATCTCTTATCAATTTTAGGCAGTTTAAACCAGGATTATTATTAAATACACTGTGTATATTTTACTTTTACTGCCACTCCCAATGGTCCTTGTACTTATTCTATGCATTTTACTTTTTCTTCTATGAGTCCTAAGCTTTGAACTTAAATCAGTTTTCTTGTTTCTAGTTGTTTTATTGTATCCTCCAAAAATCCAAAATTAACAGATTTATAGAATAAATTGAGTTTAATATCATTTTTGTTTAATAGTTTTTTCGCTTTTTGAATAGAAACTGCTGAAGTAGGATCAAACGTTGACACAACCTCTTATTTTTTTAAAATTTGTTTATATATGTATATTGACTCATGATCAGTATTTCAAAAGCAAACATGTATTAACACGTTGAAAAAAAATCAAATAAAATAAAATAATATAAATAATAATAATAATAATAATATAATCAAATAAATCATTACCGATTGTTTATCGTGGTCATAAATCTCGAACCTATATCGACCGTAGATTAAGTTCAATTATTATTATTTTATTTACGTTATTTTGGTAACATGGGGAAATTTTTTGTATTGAAAAATACAATCGTATACTTATAATTAATATATTAATAAATTAATAGTTGTATGTGAACAAATTTTCAAAATATGTAGGGAAAAAGGTATTATATTTTTATTTATTATATTTAATTTATTATTTCTCTTTATGAAATATGAATAATACAAAATAGCAAAATGTTTGCGTAAGTATCATAAAATTAAAAATGTTTTTATACTTGTAGAGTTATGTGGAAAAATTGCAAAGTGAACTTCAGGCTACACAAAGCTTTTACTTGGATGCTAGTGAAAAATGTTCTCAATTAGAACAACAATTACATGACTATCGTTTACAGCATGAAGCTATTTTGACAGAAAATGATAATTTAAAGAATCAGCTGGAAAAGAAATCTTCATTATTGAACAAAACAAAGACAATGTTACAAAGAGCAGCTTCCAGAGAACAACTGCTAATAATGGGACCTAGCAATCAAAGATTAATTAATAATACTACTTTAATTGATTAATTATTAATTTACTGTTCAGTTTTTCGCTGTTTTTTTTTTTTTTTTTTTTAATAATTGATAATACATTTTCATTTACCTAAACTGTGTTCTTACACTTCATTTAACTTTTATGTACATTTTTTTTACTCTTTGAATATTTTTGTAATATTTTTATATGTAAATACATATTGCACATAATTATTTTAAAAAATGTTTATTAAATAATTTATAAACACTAAAAAAACAAATTTTTAGTCATAAAATATAATTATGGTTTAATGGAATGAAATAAGAATAATATTAATATAATATAATATTAAGCTTAATAAATGCATTGGAAAAATAATATCAGTTAAATGCAGACACTTAACGCTAAAAAATAGACAGATTTTCAGGTATTATTATAAAGTAAGATTATGATATATATTATGAGATACTGTCATTATACTGGGATGATATTTTCTAATGGGTTCATTTATTGTTTTTATAAAATAGTATTTTAAAAATAATATTAAAATGATTGAATAGCAAACCGTTTTAACATCATCATATAAACGTGATTTGGGTGAAGAATAAAATGTTTTTTTTTTTAAATTGATTGATTATTATTGTTAAATTAATTTGATTTCTTTTAATTTAAATTAAATTTGTTGTATTGTGTTACCGTAACAACTTGGCTATTAGTTTTTATGGTGTTTGACAATAGGTTAGGGTTATATGTTTTAGATTAAAATTAATTTTTTTTAACATTTTTTAAAACTTTTATAAAAGTTTAGATTTGATTTTTATGTTGTAAATATTATTGTTTTTAAAAGCTTAACACTGCATGAGATTCAACACTTCCTCTCCCAAAAAGAAGGTTTCTTAACCATTTAAATACTGGACAACGGCCCTGCAATGACTAGGGGCCTAGGGCTTACGATAGTGTTAATCCGGGCCTGCGTGTGACAGGCTGGAATACTTACCACTATACTACCAAGGAGTCTGTTAATTTATAATATTATGCCAAGATGTCATGATAAACACCATACACACAAATTAAATTAAGTTAAAAAAAAATAATAAAAATCAAATCAATTTAATTAAAAAGAATAATATATTATTTTACATTAATAATAATAATAAAAAAAAATCTAATCTATGATAATTAGCTACTCGAAATTTTCATGATATGTTTGATATATTTATATATATATTAACTTATTATAATAAATGATAAAAGTGCCAAAAAGTGCATAGAGTAATAACCATGTATGTTACAATTATGACATTGTCAGTGATCCGTAAAAATTATTTTCAGTTTCCAGTTTATAATTGTACATTATTCTTAAACAAATGTTTTTCATCGTATTTGTAATAAGTTTTTCATTTTATATGTCTGATGAAGGAAATAAGAAAGTTGTCTAAACATAAAATATAACCAAAGACTTATAAAAATCTTTATATATCTAAGAATGTTATATAAGTACTATATTTTGTAGATACATTTATGTCCTGGTGGTTCCTATTGATTAGTGATTACTCATGTCACATGACGGTACGATACATCTTGTGACAGCATCGTGTTATCACCACTAACAGAATGTATTTAGCGAGGTCACCAGTTTAATAACGTGATCACGGGGTTTTGTTGTATGGCAGTTTTTATTTCCAAAGATATATAATATATGATGTACAATGGATGTGTGTCTGAGTTAGGTGGCACAATAGTCGCGTACGACGGTTTCGAGCAAGGACAGATACGCGACGCAGAATATAATAAAAAGTTGTTCGACGGTAGAGATGTTAGGCAACAGATGTCGAGTCGGTGCGCGGTCGGTTGTCGGTCGAGGGTGGTCTTGAGACAGACTTTGCAAAAGGAGCGCATTAGAAAGAGTGACGAGCTTCGAGTCCGTTGGCATATAAACATAGTGTACATTGTTAGAGAACCCAATGAAAATACTGTTCTATGATTGGCTCTAATCCTAATGGATTAGATAACCTTCGCTATCAATTATCTGTTATCAGTTATTAAATTTGATAAATCACCGAAATTATATTTTCAAAAAATGAGCCGTCACAGCACAGTGGTTGGGAATCCCTGATGTACACAATGCTTATATGCCGATCGGCTCATGGAGGTCGCTCGAGTGACGGAGTGTAGGGGCAACGGCAGTATCGCCACCTTCATGGCAGTGTTGTGATGGAGCGTGTGGAGGTATGCCACAATCTTATAGATAACAGTAATAACAATCAGTGTGATAACATTGTGCAAGTTAGTTATGAAAATTAATAAAAATTTTGAAATATTTCTAAATCCTTTTAACCTATTTTAACTAATTTGACCATAGTCGCATATAATCACTTTCCTTTTTCAAAAGATTTATGTCCGATTTAGATTAGTGTACGTTCGTGAAATGGCTTGCAGAAATGTCACCGTTCACAATTTGTCAAAAGTTGTCAGATATTTTTCGCAAAAAACCGCCGAACAAGGTAATAGTATCATACATCTTTAGTTTAACAGAAGACGGCCATAATGTGACGGCGTTGTACCTATATTTAACTGTCGTCATTTTGTTCCAGTTACATTTAAATTAAATTTTTGCCATAATTCCTATAGGATATTTAAGTAGCCAATGGTTGAAATTAAATTGTGTTGTACAATTTATTTTACATTTTTAGAATCAAAATTTGTTTCAAAGATGGGATTTTTAAAGGGAAAACCATTATATTTAGACGCACAAGCAACGACGCCTCTTGTAAGTATTGATATAGATATTCAGAACAGGTTGTAATGTTTATCCTCAATATTACAATATACTCTACACAGATAAACTGTTAAATTTGAAGACCCATCTTGTTTTTCAAACTTCCTCTTTGACTATCTTAATTGTCTATAGCTAATATCCTTAACATTTATTTTATTTTAGGATCCTAGAGTTTTGGATGCTATGATGCCTTATTTGACTTACAGTTATGGAAATCCACATTCTCGTACTCATATGTATGGTTGGGAGAGCGAAGAAGCTGTTGAAACAGCTAGACAGGTATTTATAACAATTTAACTACAATGACTTTTATAAAAATGTTGGAATTTTTCTAGCACATATCAGATTTGATAGGTGCCAATTCCAAGGAAATCATTTTTACATCTGGAGCAACAGAATCAAATAACATGGCCATTAAAGGAATTGCACGTTTTTATGGATCAAAAAAACGACACATCATCACTACACAAACGGTAGATACTTGAAAGCTAAATTGTATTTTATTATATTATAATTATTTAAATTTTATTTGTAAAACAATAGGAACATAAATGCGTTTTAGATTCTTGCCGTGCTCTGACAGGTGAAGGTTTTGAAATTACGTATTTACCAGTTAAGTCCACTGGTGTAATTTCTCTTGATGAATTAAACTCTGCAATACGCCCAGATACTGCATTAATATCTATTATGGCTGTAAATAATGAAATTGGCGTTATACAACCAATTAAAGAGATTGGTAATTTTATAAAAATATTTAAAAATTAAAATAAATATATCATTATTTTTTTACAGGTGAGCTTTGCAAGTCAAAAAATGTATTTTTTCATACAGATGCAGCTCAAGCTGTAGGTAAAATTAATATAAATGTAAATGAGCAAAATATTGATTTAATGTCTATAAGTGGTCATAAATTATATGGACCTAAAGGTAAGCAAATTAATATCATATATTTATATATAAATATATTACATTTTTGTTAAAGGTATTGGAGCATTATTTGTTCGACGACGTAGACCAAAAGTTTTTTTAGAACCTATCCAGAGTGGTGGTGGTCAAGAACGAAATTTAAGAAGTGGAACTGTTCCAACACCATTAGTCGTAGGATTTGGTGAAGCTTGTAGGATAGCTAAAAATGAAATGGCGGTTAGTAAAATATTAATATACTTTATGATTTCTCATAAGTATAACTAAAATAGGGACAAAAATATAAGATCTAGAGGGTGGGTGGACTGATACAATATGGATAAATTGTTCATAAAAATTTGAAATCGATGTATTGGTTTAAAAAAAAAAAATCTAAGGAAAATAGGATGGGTGAATCAGATTAAAAAAAGTTACTATTACTATTTTTATAATGTATAATTATCTAATCATTTTGTAATCAAGTTGTTTAAACAAGTCTCTACTGTTATTATTTTGAGTTACAATTAAAAAATATTTAATTTTTTCAAAACTGATCAAATACTGGTGAATTATGTTGTTGTTTTTATTAGTTTTACTCAATTATCTATAAAAATAATAAAAAATTTGAAAAATCACCTCTTCATTATATCAAATAAACAAAATTTGTTGTATAAAACCATCCCATCTGTTTATGATTGAAATTGTGGACGGACAAAAAAAATAGTTATAACTTATCATACTAAAATCATTAGATTGTTCCATTCAAAATCTAAAATTAGATATACTCAACTTATTATGTACTTACTATGTATTTATATGAAGTTCTTAGTATAAGTACTCATGTAAATATATTTTTTAAATTTAGTATGATCATGCATGGATGACAAAACTTTCAAATCTACTTTTTGAAAAAATTACCAAGGCCCTTCCAAAAGTAGTTCGTAATGGTGATGATGTTCATACTTATCCAGGCTGCTTAAATTTATCATTTGCATTTGTTGAGGGAGAATCACTCCTTATGGCCCTCAAAGATATTGCTTTATCTAGTGGTAGTGCTTGTACTTCTGCATCTTTAGAGCCTTCTTATGTGTTGCGTGCTATTGGAGCAGATGAAGACTTAGCCCATTCTTCTATTAGGTAATGTAATTTTTCCTTCAATATTGAACCAAAAGCAATTTTTTTTTTTAAAAAAATTTGTGTTATCTTATAGATTTGGATTTGGACGTTTTACAACTGAAGATGAAGTTGAATACACTGCAGAAAAATGTATAAAACATGTAGAACGACTACGAGAAATGAGGTAAGTTATTCAAATTAATATATGAAGTGATTTTCAATTTAACCTTTATTTCAATTTTAGTCCGTTGTGGGAAATGCATCAAGATGGTATTGACATAAAATCTATTAAGTGGTCTCAACATTAATTTGTGAACAAATCAAATTTCATTAGTGATAACTAATTAGATATGTCTGTGATTTGTAATTATTAAATTAAAAATTATACACTTTATGTACACTTAAATATGTAACAATTGGCTATAGATTAAATATAACAAAACATAATAATAAATATTGAAAACTGCAATTAAATATCTTAATCATAAATAAAATTATACATGTCTTTAAACTATCTATTTATTTTCAATATACATATTACATTATGAATGTAACTGGTTTTGAAATCCTCTGATATATTTTTGAAGTTTTGTATTAATTATCCATTATAGGTTTAATTTGTTGACAACAATATAATTAACATTGTGTTACAATTATACAAGATATATATTTAATTATATTATTTATTATTTATTATTTTAATTATATTATATTATTTAATTATAAATTATATAACTAATAAGTAATATTATCCTAGTTACACAAAATAATAATATACCATATATATCATACAGTAAGAAGTCTTGAGTAGTTAAAAAAAAATGAAGGCCCTTTATAGACGGGAAAGAACTTTTTCAATCCTCTACAAAACAAAGAACTGATAATTATATTATATTAATTTTTATCAGTATTCTGAAATTGACTTTAAAATATTTATATTATGAATTAGACTAAAATTAAATGAGAATATTTATTGGGTAGTTATTTGCTTGGATATAAGAAATTAGGTTAACGATAAAATAAATGCAATGAATGGCAAAAAGAAATAATCAGATTATTAATAAGGTATTTTATTCAGAGAGCAAATTTTGTTCTCTGAATAATATACCTTATTTGTTTATTATGTTAGTATTTAGTAGATCATGTGTTGTCTCAGTTCTTTAATATTATTGATTATGTAAAAAGTCCATATAATAATATTCTAATAGTATAACAAATACAATTATTAAATAATTCCTAATGTTTTACATTTATAAATATTAAATACGACATTTATGTTATATTTAATGTTAAAAAATATTTTAAAATGTCTTGGTTTTATTAATTTATTATATAAATAAATAAACAAATATTTTATATATTGAAATAAATAAATACTTAACCTGGAGAGTGGTTTTCATTGATTTTCTATATTCCTGATAATTAATTTTAATTTGTAACTAGTCGTACTTTACAAATAAAATAATACTCCAGGTCAAGCATTTGTTTATTTATTTATAAATTAATTTACGAATATTAACCATTTAATAATTTTAATGTTAATTTTATTTTTTATTTCATTACCTATTTATTAATTTATTTAATATTTAAGGAAACATAAGAAGAATACATTTTTGCTTTGTCTTAGCCTAATTTCACTAAACATATTCAAAACAATTAAACTAAATTATATTTTATTATTACCAGTATGATCAAGTCACATTATATAAATATTTAATATTTTAATTTAATGTATTTTAGTATAAATTCAATAAAAAAACGTCTGAAAAATATATGTATATTTGGTTTAATTAGCTTATTTCATTACAAATGTTGCACTTTCACAAAACCTATAATTTTAACTGATACAGTGTTGAATTATCAAGATTACACTGTATTTTGAAAATGCATGTTAACAACACTTACCTAAATTGTATAATAGTTTTAAAAGTACAATTCTAATAAGTACATTTTTTAAATATATACAAGTTTAAAAATTATTATGTAAACAATTCACATTTATTTTTTTAATTTCGCAGTATTATTACTTAATGTTTTAATTAATTATATTAAATATAATTTATGATGTGTTTACATTTTTTAGAGGTTTCCTATATGATTATTTAACTATAAAACTCACAACTATCTAACATCTTTTATCATTTTGAAATAAATATTTTATATTTTATTAAAGACATTGTAAATGCTTCAAAAATATATAATTTTAAACAGTAATGAGATTCGGCGTTGTTTCATCAGTTATATGCTTACGTCTTGGTTTTATTACATTCAAAACATTAACTAATGTTGCTAAACGACCACTTAATACATTTTCTGGTTCTTCAGCTAGTTTTTCAACAGATGAATCTAAAAATGAATTGAATACAAATTTGGTTTAAAGGCCAATAAGTTCATATAAACTTTCATACCAAAATCGGATGATTTAGGAGACTTTTTTAAACTCGGTGAAGTTGTCTTATTTGATGACAATATTTCATCTGATTCTTCCACAACTACTCCTTCATTGGTTGTTATTTCAAGCTCTGTCTGAAGTCTTTTTAAGGCTACACATTTTAATCTTCAAATTAACACTTATCTAATACAAAACATAAATCATGGTTAATACCTTTTAACAGGTCCATATTGTCCATTTCGGTATCACTCAATAAACGTAATTGCTTGCAAAATTTTGTAGCAATTTTATGACGCACAAAATCAGCTTCTATTTCTTGTTTAGTTCTTGGAATTCGAAATCGTACACAACAACACATAAACACCACTGTAAAATTTATAATTTTAAAATAATTTAAATTGTTTTTGTATTAACAATAGAGTAATAAATACCCAATGTAAAGAATACAGTCATAATGAAAAATAGAATATGCCAAACACGATAACCATTGTATAGCTGTGACTCTAGCCATTTATCATCAACTTTCAATATCTGTAGTGGATCTAGAGTAGTTGTCGTTGAAGAAGAAGCATTCATAGGTATTTGCTTATTCTAAAGAATTTACATACTGTAAATGTTGTTATAATTATTTGTATTAGTAGTATATTTATTCTTTTATTCATACATTTAAAATAAACAGTGATAGTAAAATATTTAATCTATTTATATTTCTATAATTTTTTGTTAACAGGTTATTATTAATAAATACTTAGTTTTCATACATTGTCATTGATTTAATAGTTTAAATAATGTGTTTTTTATGAAATTTAAACTGCATTTTTTAAATTACACTATAAAAAAAAAATCTATTTAGGTACATTTCAAAGATTTATTATTTTTATTATTAATTGCTCTTTATTTAAGAATTTATTTTTATTTATTTTTTCATATTTTGGGATAGTTAAAAATATTTTTTGTTATAAAAATGTTTATGCATTGTTAACTACATTTGTAATTCTAAGCATGGCTTAAAAGAATAGAGTTATAGTGGGGTAATGAACACAATATAGTTGGTTGGAAAATATTTTTTTAGGCCCTTTATTATTAAATAAGTATGTAAGTTGGAAAAGGTTAAACTTATCTCAAACTATTGAAGTATTTATTAAATCCTTAGTCCCACCTTTACTTTATAATTCATATCATCTCTATTAAGATCTTTATTTTCAAATTCTGGGCAGATCTTTAAATTTATTGGTTTTTTAACAGATTTTATTTTGAAAAAAAAACTTGCTAATAATAAATTACCACCAATAATGAAATAACTGTTTAAAAGCCGTAATTAAACAAAAAGGCAAATTATTTTTAAATTTGTTCAGTACCTAGTTCAAATTTTAGCTAAAGTTACTGTAAAATTTTAAACATAAATTAAATTTGTGGCTGTGATAAATACTTAAGGTATATATTGAAATAAAACGATCAACAAAAACACTAAAAATAAAATTCTAGTCATTTTCATAATCAGCTACCTCCACTCAATCGTTTTCAAAAACAACAAAAATAAATGTTTACCCTGCATTGGCGTCATTTTTGTTTTTTTCTAAATTAGGACAGTCGGCGTGCACCTTTTAAATTACCGGCTCGACGGCTCATTTTACCAAAGTACCTACCGATTAACGTGAGAGGAAGGGGACATCAAATCAGTCCAAAAATATGATTTGTACTTTATACATAAGTACATGTCTCATTTTTCTGATTTACAACAAATTTACATTATTATTTGTAAAAATCCAACTGGTGTTAATTCTAATAAATAAATAAATAAATGTCGATTGCTTTATAAAAGACGTAATTATATTTTTATGATGTGCTGACTAAGGAAATCTAGATTGCGGCGAGTGCATGAGTTCCCCCCCTCTCAATGACGCCACTGTTGTTTTATATTTAGTCTTTTGTCAAAACTTGTTACAAATACCATAAAATATATTTAATAATAGATTACCTGTGTAAATAAATCCTAATAAAATATTTTACTTGTTATTATTATAACTCGTGCACCTACCTATTTGGAAGTATAAAAATTAAAATTCCATTTAGAATGTTTATTATTTTTATTAATTCGAGTAATATTGCGAGTCTCTAAGTACATTTTAAAATAGTTTTTAAAAATAACTAAATTTCTAGTCGAACTTAATATTCTAATATCCGAAACCTAATTTAGTTTATATAATTTTTGGATAAATTTTGATTGTGTAAAAATAATATTTTATTTAAAGCGTATATAGGTACATACTCAATTTATTCGATAAAATGTTCCAATTATAACGAAAATGCTTTGAAGACTCGCAATATTTATACAGCTTATTTAAGTAGATCGCGCATTACAACTAAAAGCTATTTTTGTATAAACAATTTAAAATGTTTTTTTAGTTGCTTACGTAGTTTAACGACAAACAACTTTTAAATTCAGTTTGCCGAGACATTATCCTTGTTCGTGGTCAGTCAATGTACTAAAGGTCCTGTATCTAAAAACACTAGCACCACACCCATTTATGATGGTTTTAATTTTGGTGTACAAACAATAAAGGCAATGACACGCAACTTACAAAGTCACAAACATGCCACACCTTAACACCGATGTAATACACAACCCGTAGATTTATCACAAATGTCAAATAATAAAAGAAAATTAAAAGTTATTAAACCATATCTTAAATTACGTTATTGTTGGTTTAATAGATTGGATATTACTTTGAGTCTTGAAAAGGTAATATCAGATGTCGGTATTTCACAATTCGAATTTTATAACACTAGCGATTACCAGGGCCGGCTCAAGGTGTAGGCGAAGTAGGCACTTGCCTAGAGCGGCACTTTAGTAGGGACGGCATTTTCAAAATTGACTCGTACATTATTTTTAGTTCTATCGGTGTTTTTTAAGAAAAATATTTAAATTAATTCGTTCGTAAAAACCACTTACCTATATAATAAAATAATGTTGTCTAAAGTTATTATATTACTTCATATTATGCCTGGTTTACACGATGCGTAGTACTTGTCATTAGTACTTGTCACTCGCACTTGCACATTGCATGTAAATAGAAAAAATAGTGCTTAGTATTAGTAAAACCGGGAGTGCGAGTGAATAGAACGCCGTTCTATTTACTAACAAGTAGCTACCCCCTCAACGACTCTACTCGCGGTTGCACTCGCAACGTGTGACCACTGATTAGTATCAGTGCTTAGTAATATTTGTGCTATCACGTGTAAGGCGCATGTTGCACACTATTAATTGTGATAATTCTTATTTCAACTTCTAGTTCATCTATGACTGATGAAATTATTATGTTTGAATTGTATTTCAAACTTTGTTATACGATACAACAACGGTTCATTATATACTTCTTCACGACTTAATTGATCTTGAAGATTAATTTTTTATATTATAATAATTAATAATATATTATTTACTTCTAAACACTATTTTAGAAATTATAATCTTATTTACTATTAATTTTACAATCTATCTATCTATACTATATATAAAATTGTAAGGGTTTTTCTTAGACCGCGCTAACCGAGAAAACTACTGAACCGATTTGGCTGAAATTTTTTTTGGCTGAAACCCGACACTGCTGAAGGTTTTAGTACCACTTTAGTCACTAAAAAAGTTCATAAAAAATTAAAATCAATTGTAGAAGAGTCGCGTGTTAGCGGCTTTGTAAGCGGGCCGCGGGTTTACAGCTACCTGCAACTTGACCTTTGTATAGTGTTAGATATCTAACAGGTCATCAAATTATTTAATTGACATTCATCAATAGTACACGCGCGTCCAAAAACATTTGCCGAAATTAATAATAGTTTTAATATTATAA